CAATTTATCAACTAGAAAAAATATTTCAGAAAGGTGCTATAGTCTATGTTTCAAAGTAAGTTTTCTGGTAGAGAAGTTGTTTACAGACAGAAAAAAAAATTAAACATCTATCATAGTAAAACCAATAGATCCTTTGCTATGCTCCAAATCTAACATTGGTTTTTATTTTCAAAAAGTGTGGTCTTCAAACTTTAAAAATATAAATTAAAATTTTTTTTAAAAATATTTTCAAATTCGTATGTACTACAGATGTGTCTGGTGTAGTACGGTAGTCAGGAAAAATTTTTTTAGTTAGAAAGGCACAATTAATTTCTATTATTATTTAAAAATTTTTAGAATGATCATACAACCAAATAACCTAAATAATTAATGAAACAAAATTTCAGATAGGGCACCTGTCCTATTTGCCCTACCTCTGGCTATGGCACTGGTCTGATATATAGGTTTGGTTAGATTAGGCTTATCAGTCAGTTGATCAGTTTTGAATGGGTTGGATACGCACCACTAAAAAAGCGCTATCAACTATGTACAGAAAACCGATAAAAGTAAAGTGCCTAGTTAACGTATAATTTGCTACATGGGTGGTATAATGGTTGGTTCCAGGTGAGTACTGGATTGTGCTGTTACGTGCAGGTGGACACGCGATGAACGATTAACGACGTAGGTACCTATTCTGGATCACCGACAAGATGTGCGCCGTGAGCAGGGTGCCGGAAAACGTATCACGGACTAGCGTCGCGTTCGGCGTCGCATCCCTGGCTATACTGTTGACTGGTTTCGTGACCGGTTCGTGGGTGACTACTAGAGAACCATACAGGGTGCCGGGCACAGAAGCGAGTACGGCCGCCTCGTTTCGGATAGGCCTGTGGAAGATATGCCCTACTCTCAAGACTATCAATTCCACGTTTAGTAAGTACCTATGAGCGATATATAAACATTAATACGTATTTACAAACACTAGTAAATAATTACCAATTTGTATAAATGTTAAATAACTTCTGATCGATGGTGTATCTATTCGAATGTAAAACCTGCAATATCAGATTAATGGTTTATTCATTTTTATAGAAATAATTTTTCAGAGTTTAAATCGTGGATGAGTATAAATTATACACAGTAAATCATTCTTCTTCTCCTTTACCTTCATTGTTACTATTTGGGGTTGGCCACCCTCGTCATAAACTTCTACTTGACTCGATTCCCATCCTACCCTTTGCATACACCGACTGTCATAATATTATTCTCAATCGAAATCAACCATTTCTTTTTCGCTCTTCTTCATAATCTATTTCTCCCCACGTTGGTTTTCATTGCAATTCTTATTGCTTCAGATTCTTCTCCCTCCATAATAGGCCCAAACCACCCTAGTCTATTTTCTCTCGTTTTGTCTATCCTCGAAGTCAGGCCTAAGTTACTTCTTATGTACTTATTCATTATTTCGTTTTCTCTCGTCTCCATTCCACATAGCAAAAGATAATATAGAATTTAAAAAAAATCTGAAATATCTGGAATATTTTAAAGAGCTCCCCTAGATTACTTTAATTTTCTTATTCAGACACTGATTATAGTAGTGTTTATAGTTGAGCCTTATTAAAATGACTAAATATTAAATTATTTTACTTAAACTGCATGCGTATAACAATTATTCAACATTATTTTTTAGTTTGTTAATTCCTTAACACTTTATTACAATAACTTAAGGAGAAAACCGGTTAATGGGAAATCTGCAGTTATTTTAATACCATATTTATAAAAGTTTTAGTTTTATTTTCTTTTGATTTATTTCTATCAGTATTGCTGATATTCACAATTAAAGCAATATTAAAAAAAACATAGTTGTAATTTTATTATAAAATTAACTAACTCCTTGCAGCTATAATAAGTAAAATGTTTTGCGCCGGAAGTGTATGAATTCGTAATAAAATATAAATATAGTTTTAATACTTGCGTGTATTTAGTTAAAACGAATTAATACACACAAACATACACGCACATACACTTGTTATACGTGTAACATTAATTTTCAATTTGTTTTTTTTCAAATAGCAGTGATCGCATCATTATTATTGTATGAGTATTACCCGATAAAAATTTTATCTTCCGGTATCGTAAATCGTATATTGTTATAAAGATTATAAACAATTATTCCACTAATAATTAAGGTATTCGTTGAATCAAATTTTGTTATTAGATTAAAAGAACATACGCAATTTTGACCAAATCTTGCATATTACATCTTAAACTAAATAATTATATGTAAATAAGTACAATATGCAGATTTAATTTTTTTAAAACTATTTATTTTATTTTTGTGAAGCGGTTGATACGTCCACTAGAGCGCCGCATTGTCCCCTCAACCGTAACACTGCACTCTGTTACTTCACCAAACTAATTTTTCAAATTTTGAACACTAAACCTAACCTAATTATATATTATATATGTATATATACTCTTTTTCGGTTTATTTTCTGTATCGGATTTTGTTAGTTTAGCTTTTTTCTCGTATACGTGGTTAATTTTCAACGTAGATCGTTGTTTTTTTTCAAGTTTAGATCATTATATAATATTATAGCAATACAAATGTACATATGGATACACACTATATAGATACTTCGTTGTGGTGGATAGATTCCTTTTTATGATTTTTACTCGGCTTACTAAAAGAATAAAGACTACATACAAAATGGCACGTCGATTTTGTAATCAAATAATCTCTTGAAACAAAAACAACACTAAACTTTCGGTATTTCGCGGCCATAGTCGTGCTGCTATACAGTTACATATGATATTTGGAAAAAGAAAATAATTCTTTTTAACCAATAGGTTAGGAGTGTTTGTTTTGTGAACACGTGATCAGAATTCTATCAATTACTCAGTTTTCCTTGTTTACAGGACAAAACATAATCGAATTAATAGAATCAATGGAATAAGAAAATAAAACAGGCCAATAAAGAGTAGGTAATAGGTATTATGTCGAGTATTATTGGTATCGAGTCTTATGAGAAAGTGTTTTAGTTGGATAATGGAAAATTAACTAAAAAATAAAAACAAGTTATATATTTCGTGATAATATATTTAAATAACATATGTAATTTCCTCAAAATTTTCAATTAAAAAACTTTCGATCGAATCTTTTGTATTATATATTGTTTTTTAAATGTGGCTAAATCAATTGATAATGATTTTTTTTTTGGAGAATAATGTTATTCAAAATTCAAGGACCTTATGCTGATTTCCTTAAACTTCTTCATGACCGACAAAATTAATAGAAATAATTCTTATTTTTTTCTTCTCCTCTACCTTCTCTTCCTTCGCTTTCGGTCCCAACCATTTGGAGACGGCCATCCTCTTTCTAAACTTCAACCTGACGCATCCAACCATTTCATTTTCAGTTTTCCTTTCCGAATTTTTCCTCTTATGTTTATTTTTATCAAAATTCTTACTGTTTTTGATTTCTCTCTTCTCGAGACATGAACAATGTATCACATTACTATATTACACTCAATCTTTTTTATTTTACTATTGAGTGCAACTTATAATGAATTTTATATTGAATTGACCTCATGAAAAATTGGCAATCATTTCTACTAGGGCCAAAACAATTTTAACCACATAAAATCGAATAAAAACTGAAAAAAACTCGAACATTTAAAATGCCTATAATAACTTAAAATTGAAATAATAATAATTGAAAATTCTATTTTGTCTATAAAAGTCTGATTAAAGTATTAAAGTATTTAATGAACATTTTAGATTTAAGATGTTTTTAATCGAATGACCGCAAACGAAATCGAAAATAATGAAACTACTATTTCTAAACTTTCTTGTTTTTTCAAATTTTTCTTCGGTTATTCTCAATAATAAAAAAAATTTAAAATAAAATAAAAAAATGACTTTCTTAATGCACTAATGAAATCCATAATGCTACAAAAATGTTCTTGTGTCTTTTTTGTCTGGAGCAAAATTTCTGGTAGAAAATGTCATTCATAAACACACACACACACACACACATAAATAATAATAATAATAAATTAAAGTAATAACGCTCCTCTCACCACACTTAGAATCTAAAAAATGTAGACATTTTCTAGTTAAATTTGGTTGGATTATGATTTAGTTATTTAATACAACAATAAATCTAGCTAACCACGGTTAAAACTGCGACTGTTAATAATGAAATAGTTAACTGCGACTGACAACAATACAATTATATTATTTACTCCATGAAAATAATACGTTACGAACATGTTTATTAGTAGTGTTTATATTGACCGTTGATGAGAGTTATCTTACACTGTATCATTATCCTTTATACTGTAATTTTGAGATAGTAAAAAGAGACGTGTTGAAGTTTTTACGACCTCCAAAATAATATTGTAAATATTTTGATAATTTGAACGGACCCGTAGAATAAACGTTTAAAAGTAATGAGTGAAAACGGCGCTCCGATTGGTTAGTTTAGATTAACTAGGTACTGTTTGTTGCAATAATAATAATAATTATTATTATTATTACACCAACAAGTGGGTAATTTCATTTGATTCACCCCTAATATGTACATGTATTATAATATGTGGTTAATATTACTTGAATGCGTCATACAATTGAATATTTCGTATTCCTTTATTCTAATAAATTTTGTATCATTTTTGATGAAGATCAACATTACCTTTAGTTGTCATTTATCTAAGCATTCCAATTATTATAATAATAAAAAATAAAAAAGAAGAAAATCTAATCGTTTTATAACAATAATAACATTATAGATCCTATATAATCCGTATTGTTTAGCACATTATAATATAGTGGGTACTTAAAATACTAATGTGCTTTATGGAAGTGAAACTTGGCCAATATAAATAGAAGAACAATAGAGATTAAAATATTTTGAAATGTAATTCAACAGAAGAAAAATACGCTGGACCGAAAAATCAATAACAAATAAAAAAGTACTAAATAGATTAGAAGAACATTATGAATAAGTTTGATAATAATAGAAAATAGATATACCATATAAACTGCAGAAATAAAGATCTATTGAAATTGATTATAATGAAGATCGTTACAGGCAAAAACTGCGTAAGAATAATATATACTATGGGATATACAAAACAGACACACGCATGAATATAATTATAGGTATTAACGATGTGATTCGTATTTACTATACTAAAAAGGAAAGTGGACGATGGAAATTGACGTAGTAAAGCACCGAAAAAACCTCAAGAGATTTATATGAAGACACAAAGAGTATAATATTACTGGTTGCATGACAACTTTGTTATACTCGTATTTACTAAAGCCCCGCACGGGCCGACAAAAGTAGATCTTGTCCGAACGATAGAAATACGAAGTTGGTCTGACCCAATTCAATTTAATACGAAAATCCGAAAATTTAATCTGACCCGAAAATAAGTTAGGCGGGGGAAAATTTTATTCTAATGACGGAGCTTTGCTGCTTAGGTGTGTTTTATTTTTATTTTGACGAAACATTTGAAAAATAAATAAAAAGGTGTTTGTTATGTGTGCTCACAAATTTTTATATTTAATTTTAAAACTCACCATGGTAATTAATATGCTGGAACTCCAATTTGTGGCAGAGTCTACGGCGGTAATACAGGATGATTTTTTTATCATGAACGAGTAATTTCTCGGATTTTAAGTGAATTTGATTTCTATTTTTTATTTTTTATTTTTACTCCTAGTCCATATAGACCTTAAATAATTAGGTATTTTTGTTTTTCATTCAAATAGAGAATATTTTTCTAGAAATGTAGATAATATTTATTTAATAATTTAGAAATGCATAACACTAATATCAAATTTATTATTTATGACTATGACTTTTTATAATTAAATTTTAAACTGTTATAACTCATAAACGGTAAATCTGATATTAGTTTTATGTGTGTTAAAATTTTTAAAAACATTTAAATCACAAAAGTATGTACTTTTTTAAGGTATATAGTATAGGGGTGAACATTTAAAATTATTTCAAAATAAAGCTTAAACGATTCCCCACAATGATTAAAAAAATAGAAATCATATTTACTTAAAATACTCCGAGATAATTGCTGGTCCATGATGAAAAAATTACTCTGTATAATAACTTCCTATATTATATTATAATTTAATTTTCTTAAAACCTTTTACAATATGAATGGACACATGAGTAAAATAATACGTGTACTTACTTATACAGGGTGATCAATCTATCGAAAGACATTCATTATGCGGAAAGTATTAATTTATTTAAAATTTTTTTTCTAGAAAATTTAAGGGACAACCAGCTCTAAAATGTTACATTATCATTATTTATGCTACCCTTATTTTTGTGGGTGAAACGACTATTTACTTTTGATTTTAAAATGGAAAAAAATATTTAAAATGTTACAAATAGATGGAATATTAGTTTAAAAATATTTAAGTGTTTAAATATTTCATTTTTGTCTATTCGTTGACGAGATAATCCACATTAAAGTTTGGGTAGAGTGAGAGTAGTGGAGCATGTTTACGTGGCGGTACGGCGCCAAGCACTTCACTATTCTCCCACTGATCTAAACCAATGTTTTTAAGTACACAATTTTAAAAAGCATTAAAAATGAAATTTGTATTTTATATTTGTCACCGTTTTTTTTTTTTTTAATTATCGGATCATTTTATTTTAGAACTGTTTAGTCTCTTTACTTGCTACAGTGCATACATTATTATATATAATAATATGTCTGTGTACAGACATATTAGGGTATTAAAGAATTTTTTTTTATCATATGTTTTTCTTCTCGTGATATATCATGTTTCTTAGAGCTTAATAATATTCTCAATTTTTTTTTTAGATTTGTTAAGGTCACGAGTATCATTTTTAGGAAAAATGTTGGTTTTTTTTTAAATTTTATGTGTGTAAATAATAATTTTTAAGGGAAGATCATTGTATCAAAAATTTTCAAAAGAAAAAAAAAAATATACTAATATTTTTTTCAATTTAAATAACCTAAATTTAGGTTTATACCAATTGTTTAGATCTTAAAAAGTAAATTAAAGATAATTTTGATAGATCAACCTTGTAACCACTCTTAAATATATTTTATAGTAGTTAAAAATATATTTAATTTATTCTCTATTTAGTTATCAAAGAGAATTTATATTAAAATCTATAGTTGTATAGTGAGTTAAACTTGATATGATTTCAAATAAAATTATTTTTACAATTTTAAACCCGTCCCTAATATTCTAGAACGTCTTTTTTATTTTATAGTTCAAAGAGATTAGTTTTTTTAAAAATGTCAAAAATTCCCGTTACTCCTGGCATAGTATAGGTTTATTAATTTTCCGTTTGTCGATGTATTATGTAATAGTCAAGTATTTTAGTACAATAATAATAAAACAAATTCCTAGTTTCAAAAAGTATATAAACTAGACTTGCGAAAATTAATACGATTGTCCTGAATAGTAGTGTATTATTATATTCAAGTGAAATGATATTGTCATTTATAAATATACCACTGAATCACTTGAAGGATGTAAGGATAAAACATATACTAGACCTATATACTTAGCCGCAATAACCGCAGTGTTCTAATGGCCATCCAGTCTCTCCGTCGTCGCCGCCGTATATACAGAAGCCAATTTCCCATAGGGGAAGTATAAATAAACTCGCATCGTATTTCGTCGGTCGTCGGGCTTAGGTCTAATAAAATTATCGTGATAATTACCCGCAAGAAAATAATAATGTGAGAATAGTATATAGAAGTTAATACCGTCAGTAAATTATTCCTATAGAGCTACCTGGCTGCTTGGCCGCGATCGGATTACGTGGCAGTTTTTCCTCTTTTATTTTTTTATAACCTTATTTTAATAATATTATTATATTCAAATATAATAATCCACCTCCTTCCAACTGTAGGAAAAAAAAATATATGAATTTTTGTTGAAAAATAAACCCCTCTGTTAAATGAATATTATTATAATTCGGGCATATATAAAAATATATGTTTTTTTACGCTTTCGCGAATTTCAATTTGGTTGGCAGAAAAAAACTAGTTTTACTAACTATATACAATTTAAATATAGGTATATAATTTTTATGTGTAAAATTATATTAAGTATATTTTGTGTTTTAAACGTTATTAGGGCATAATTTAGGATTTTATGCATTTTCAAGGAATCAAGGTGTATTCACAACCTCCCAACCCTAGCTGCGCCACTGATTTTAATGGCTTCTCCTGAACCCAATAAACTTGGATATTAGAATAGCTAATTTATAGGTGGATTGAAATGATGAAAGTTGGGATAACTTTTAATATGAATTTTGCCATAATATTGCGAAAGAAGAGTGTTTTTTAACTTTTTTATGTTTACAGACTTCTCTCAAATGTAGTCTGGTGGGTGAAATGTTGTAAGCACATTTATTTACATAAACGTTTGTATCAAATATATTTAGAGGATTTTTACTTTCAAGTTACCATATTTATGTTCAAATTTCGTTATTTTTAATTTATTTTTTTTTATAGTTGCAATAGTTTATACTATTTAGTTATACTAAAAAAATAATTTTACTAGTTTTACTATTATTATAGTATTCGGTTCTTTATTTTTTAAGAATAATTTTATTATAGAATATAAGTGGGGAAGATAAATAGTGTACTTACATATTACCTATATAATCTATATTATATCGTCGGAAACCTAGAAAAACATCGAGATTATTTTTTAACATTTTTTCTACCGGAAATCTTATTTTTTATTAGAGTTGTTATAGGAATTTTTTTGTAGAATTTTTGATCTAGTTAAGAGTTTTTGGGAGGTCATTTTTCGATTTCGTTTATAATTTTCTTAAGGAGATCGTTACAGTTTTTCCAAATTTTGTCCATTAATGTTAAAGTAAAAAGTTATTTTTCATATTTTATTCACCACCTTAATAATAATATTATTCTTCCAATCTTCTATAGTAATTTTTATGGACGAATATGACTTTTAAGACCATTCATTAAGTGGTAGAAATTTAGAAATGAGTACATTATAATGTCTAATTTCAATCTCATGGATATTTAACAAATTGTTTAGGTTATTTTGAAAGTCGATTTTTGATTTAAAATTTAGTATAGGTATGTATAAAATAAATTCAAATCTTATGTGGTTATTGTATGATAGCCGACGATATATATTTATGAACCATCATAACATATGAATATAGTATAATACATTGTATTATTTTATTAGATAATTATATTAATATTAATATTCTAATTTGTTACGAAACTTTAACTTCTGTTTCCGCTGTCAGTGAGATTAGTCAGTACTATATATTCGGTAAAATTATTGAATATTTTGCGAGTTTCAATTGAAATATACGACATGACACGTAGTTTGGTTCACTGCCACGAGTGCTGGATTCCGAATATCAATAAGGCGACTCACGACGGCAATAAAATATTCGCACGTTAAAATATGTTTAATATTATTATGATGTAGGTATAGGTGTATTATGGTGTCTCCTAAAATTCAGCGATATTCAATCAAAATGTTAACGAGTACATTCCAAAGCTTAACGGTTATTGAACCATGTTCCAAAATTCTATTTTATCAACTAAATTTTCATTGGATTCAGCGTTCAATTTTACTTTTAGATTATAAGCGGAGCATGGGATCAATTAATTTAGTATGAAATTTTTTTTACAAATTTTTGTACAGAAATCTTGCTCCAAACAGAAAATAAATTTTAGAACTATTTGGTGCATTAGGAAGTTCATTTTTTGATTTTCCAAGTGGTTAATATACGAAATATAGGTAATAATTGAAAATATTTCGGCCTTCTTTTTTCCTGTGAACAACTTTTTTATCATTAATTTTGCTCTAATTTACAATGGGAGCACTTTTTCTGAAAGAAAATCTGAGTGGGAAGGTATTTTAGGGAGGTTATTTTTCGATTTTCCCAAGAGTTTTCCCCAGAAAATGTGAAAAACCAGGTAAAACAATAGGGAAATCGGTACATTATTAAACAAATATTATTAAAGAAAATATATAATGTCTATTTAATTAATTTAACATAATATGACACAAATATTATTGACATAGCATCACTATCAACTAAACTGCGCTCAGAATCGTTTTTTCGTTAGCAATGGTTTATTGTTGCTTATAGATGAACATTAAATTACCTATAACAGTGGCTTCATCTGTCTCCATTATCTTAGGACGTCTTTTTTTTGCTGTAGTTCAGTAAAAAATTTTAAGAGATTTGACATTTATTCTTTATTTATTATTTAAAATTTTGATATAAAACTTATATTTACTTTTTTTAGAAGTAGTAAAATGTTCAAAACGTTTTGGCGATTTTGGAGCTATTTATGGCCATTTTATGTTTGCGAGATTTTTACGTAGTTTTTATTTGATAGGTACTATTTGGATATAATTGTTTAACAGAACAGAAATGCTTGAAAATTTGACAGTAGGTTTTTTTATACATTTTTCTGAGTGATAAAAATAAAAACATATGTATATTGAAGTGTATTTTTTTAATAATAATTTTAAGATCATATTTTGATGAAAACTGTAAATATATGAAATTTTTAATCATCTATGAATTAATTTCACCTTGAAATGTTTTTAGATAACAATGATTTATCTTTGCGTACATATATAAATAACTTTGTGTATTCGACTTTCCCAACTTTCCACTTACAATAGTGGTGCACCCATCAATTATTTTTTTGTTTGTTTATTCGGTGGCTTTGCTTTTTTTATTTTATTGAAACAATTTTTAATAGACCGTTTCATTGCTTTTTGAAAAATATTTTTAAGTGATTATTTCAAGGCTTTCATTTTAGCCGCTTCATTATTTTGCCACGCCACTGCCATCACTATCACTGTATAAGTGTGCATGTGCCTTATAATTTTCTTAATTACGTTGAATATTTTTTTTTTCAATTTTCAAGCATTTTTTTTCCTCTACTATAACATTGCTTACACATGTTAACGCTTGTTTTCATATAATAATATTATATGTTTTCTTTAATTTCGGGCTGCTCTACGGGAATAATGTATATTGTGATTATTCCTCATTAAGAAAACATTAAAATATTATTTTAAACCAACCCTTTTGTTTTTCGTTTTTTTTTTTTTACCATGAACGATATCATAGTAATACGCATAGGTTTATTTAATTTACACGGTTCATATATTATTATTATGTTTTGGCACATAATATACACGGCGGCACTAGCTGTAATAACAGACTTTTGGATCGAAATACTATTAATACGCACAAACTGAATAACACGCAGTAATAAATCACAATATAACGAATCGAATTCTGTACGTTGTCACAAAAAAATAATAAAAAAAAACAAAAAAACGAATTTGAATAAATTTATGCCGTAAATAATAAATGTACCAAGAAATCGAACGTACTCGATCCGGTCTGAAAGTAATCGATCATTAATGGAGTTCGTTATTGGCGTTGAAACTTTGTTTTGTGGTGGCAGGGGGGCCTTGGTTCCGTGCGCTACATTTTAAGGAGGCATCATAATCTTTTAAAAAATCGTAAAATAGTAATTTTATTTTGTTGTTTATTAATTATTAGCTAATATTATCCGACTTGGCCTATGAGCGTTTTTGTAACTAAAATATTTAAATATTGTGTATATGTTACATACAAAATTCGGAATTGTACATAGTAACTAAATTTGTAAAAGTTAAGTTATACAACTCGCGATATGTACACCAATCATTGTACACATTGCGAAATAATATAAAATACGTGAAACTATAATAAGAGTTATTTTTTAAAAGTATTTTCATAATAAATATTACATATCGGTATGTCATAAAAAAAGATGAACCTATAGTTCCTTAAATATTGGTATACTCATAGCCCAGGGACGGATTAACCTATCGGGAAATCGGGAATTTTCCTGATGGGCCGGTTGTTGTATGGTCCGCTTATATTATTATATGATCACAAAAAATTTATATTTTTGTAAAATAAGCATTATGAAATTTAAAAAAAATTAAATATGAAGGCAATATTTTATAATGCTAGTACTTATATTTAACTGAATATACTCACCGAGATGTTTACCGTTACCGGAGACATTTTTAAAGAAAAATTCCTACATTAACATACATAAAATGAAAATAATATAAATGTTTTGTTATTATTTTAAACGCAGTTGAATACTGCACACCGGAGAGTATTCATCATTATACGTATAATATTGTGATTTTTTTTTTTTTTTAAAAAAGAGATAATCATTTTGAATAGATTATTAAGTGGCGTTCAACGCAAGCTCCATCTTAAATAAGTTAGATAAATTATGTAAAAATTGTGTTTTGTTAAATTGCATTTCTGATTAAATAAAATATAATTAAAAAAAAAATGTCAACCTCCTACAGTATAGGTCCTATATTGCTTAATATATTTATTTGCTGTTAGAGGATGATTATTACTATAAAAAGTATAATACTTAACATACAGTTTTGAATTATACGATACGAAAACGTAATATATAATAGTCTGCGGATGAGAGGTTTTTTAAAGGACAAGATTACACACGCTTTACTAAAATCACGAACACTTTAAAATATTAATGTAATATTACTCGTGTATATTCCGGTATATTTATATAAAAGCACAATCGTATCATATTATTATAAATGAATAAATACTGTACGCTTAGCTTTTTTTTTTTTTTAAATTTTATATAATTATACTTTTGAAACTTTTATGTTCAAGTATATTATATTTTAATTGAGTCCGTGAGGATAAAGATAGTCAAGATGGTGACTTTATTTGAATTCAGCATTGGTAAATATGATACTATTTCAAGTGCTAAACGGTTAAATATAAACAATTTTGATTTTCACTAAAGTTTTTCAAAAATTTAAGTACCATAAATTATACCTTTTGTAATTATATTGTTGGAAAAATGTATATCACGAATCTAAAATGGCTAAAACTTAGTATTAGAGTCTATGCATGACATGGAATGTATTGGTTTTACTACGTGTTTTATTTTCCTTATGTCTGTGAACAACTTTTCTCTCAGAAATCTTGGTCCAACCGTAATATGTAGCATCTTTTTCAAAAATAAATTTTGTCTTGTTATTTAGTTTCAACTCTACTCATAGGACATGCACATATTTATAGGAAGGTGAAGAATCTGTAAGGGAAACCGCTGCATTATCCTCTGTTTTTCCCCGTAAAACGAGTACAAATAGTACTGCCTATATGAGTTATGAGTTTATAGGTATGATTTAGTTAGAAATAATGTATACTAAAAATACTGTAAATATATTATTATTGTATTCTAACAATTTACAATATTTAAGACAAATTTGATGTTGCAGTATAATATAATTATTATAAAATATTTTTTCTTTCCGAACAATTATTTATCTAAATGACACTTCATATACATGTGAAAACGCGGGATAAATAATACTATTCATCCAAGGGATGCACTCTGGAGAGTTTTCACGATCTCTAAAGGTCTGAAGGACTACATAATATACATTATATTATTATATTTATAGTAAGAACGTATTATTATTATTACGTTAAGTACGTTCGCACAGGAATCCATTGTGTACACTATTGTTAAAAGTACCCCTATATACCCTGTATAATATATATTTAAAGTACCTACGTCTGAAAGTGTGTGTTTAAGTACTTGTATTTAAGATACTGCCTAACTATAATATTATACAGAGTTGTCCAAATTTCATGTTACAATCAAACTAACTACGATATTTATTCAAAAACCGACAAAAAATGATTACATTGTCCATACTTTGTCACCCTTATTTTCGAGATTGAAATCACTACCTTACATTGATTTTCAAATATAAACTTATATTAAAAATATTATAAATAGGTGAAATTCTTGAGTTGTAATTTTTAATTTCTGTTAACTCATTAATGAGATGTTTCATTTTTAAGTATTGATAAGGGTAATGAAGTATTATTTAAACATCGTACGCCGGGCTGCCATATACATAATATTCCCCTATCCTCTTTTTCCCTAACCAAATTAAAATGTAGAATATCTCGTTAATGATTATACGAAAAATAAAAATTTTAACACACAAATTTATTTATTATGTTTTCACTCTTAAAAATAAGGCCAACAATTTAAAAATATAAGATTTTAAAAAGATTTCACATAAGTCAATTTTTTAAAAGATAATTATCTTTAAATTATTTTATGGAAAAATTTGATAGTAACATGGCATTTGAAAGACTCTGTATATTGAAATACTGTTTCTATTATACAGTACAGGCACTCGTGAAAAAAATTTCGAGGAGAAGTTTTAAAACATTATAATTTCTTAATTGTCAATTTCATAGTCTTATGTATAACTATTGGTATATTATATTTCATTATTTCCACTTAATTATTAATGAACAATTGTGTATTAAAATATTATGTGATTCGGCCTGACTCTTTTGAAACTAAATACATATATAAATTAGAATTCTTAATCGATATGTATAACTACATATACTAAAATTATATTTACTTATAGGATTAAACGACAGTAATATGGTGGCCGATAAACTTTTGAATTTAATATTACCTAACACTTTTCATTAGATGTTACACAAATTGGGTAAACCTTATTGATTTAATCAATATTTAGAATTAGTTTTTATTGCATTTTTTATAAAGTCTAGTTGTAAGGTCTGCAAAACTTGCTGTACGTTAATTTTTTTATATATTATGCATATAAAATAAATATTTTTCTAAAATGGTGCGAATATGCCTGTTTTTTTTAATAATTATAGTTCTCATATAAAAATCGAATTATTCTTATTGTATATCGTAGCTCCGAATAAGAGTGAATAATGGAATAATGTCAATTTCCAAGACAACTAACTGCACAGTTCGTTGACTGTTTGGTACCAAATTAATTTCTAAAATTTCTAAAACTTTAATTAAAGATTTAATAACTTTTTGGTTGGGACGGAGAAAGTCGGGGAGAGAATTAGGGCCAAGATTTGCGAAAACTGTTGAACAAGTATTTAAATATGTACACGAATAATATTTACGGAACAATTGATACATTTTCGTTTTAAGGAGCGACACATAACTGTAATTGGAATTTTCTTTTCGTTAATAAAGATTCTTATTACTATAATTCACTTCAGTTTTTGACTTGGGTAAAAGAGCGTAGGAGGACTTAATGCCCTAAATAATTGTTCACATAACAAAACTTTGGTTCTGGGGAAAATGGCCTAAAGTCGGTTTTGTATAGTTTTCAACACTGAAAGTAAATTAAATGTTAAAAATACAAACACATATGTAATCTTAAACAAAAAATAATGAGAATAAATTTATAACACACCAAGTTAAAAAAAAAATTGACTTCAGCCCTTCTTCCTGGAAACTAATAAAAAAAAAAAATATATATAAAAATCTTGTATTTAGATAAAACGCTAATAGTTCCATTGTAATGTAAACGTATTCAAAGAGCGTTGACGTCATAATAATATCATGATCCAAAAGCATCTCCTCGTGTATTTTATGATACGAAAGCGATCGAAATTAAAAGTAGGTACGCTGCACAGTTCGGTGGTATATAAAACATTGATGTTTTTACATTCGGTAAAACGCTCGTAGTCGTCTCTTCGCATATTAATCATTAATCGACGACTGCCTTAACAGAAATCTAAAAGCGTACACATACACACACACACACACACACACATACACGCGCGCACGCACGTACACACACTTGCCACTTGGTGATTTATCATTGACGTCAGTGCCTCCTAAATAATGCGTACGATCGTATACAAGTTACAATGTATTTGACTTGTATATATTATTATTATTATTTATATAGTATATACGGGAGAAGATCGGAGAAAATTTCTCGAGACTGAAACTTTTAGGCGTTATTAAAACCTGAGAAATTGCTCGACGAGTTATTATAGTTTCGCGCGGAACGAGAAAAAACGTTAAAATATTCGACGCGGAATTGCCTCGATGTGATTGCAGCAGCAGTGACTATCCGTTTGTTTATAAAGTTCCGGAGCGAAAATTATTTAAAACTTTCTCATATTATACACCGGTACCCACCTATTATTATACATACCTACCAAAAAATAAAATGTACTCGAGATTTTAGAGTCTGAGAAACGCGAAGAACGTATAAAAGGTTAGGTTTTACCATGGATGGATTGAAATTGTATGGACCAAAAATTTGGCTTTGATTGATTTTTATCTCCGGATTTCTGAGCTTGATATAGTATGTAACTGATAAAATTACAGCTAGAAGTTGAAGTAACCATGATACCTGATATTATAAATATTCATATTCATCATACCCTAAAGCAAATATTTATTCAAGTGTTTTATTAGGTAAGCATTAGGATGTGTACCATTTTTGTTTCTGAGCATAGCAGGGAATGTGTTGGTTTTACAATTTACTTTGATATGTTTTTTTTATTTAATTTTACTTATTGTGCCTATAACCATTGTTTTACTAGAAATATTTTTCAGTCGAAAACCTACAAGAGAATTTTATTGTGTAACTTTGGATCTATTCGGTTTATTGAGAGATATAGTTTTTTTATTATTTAAGTAGTATTCACAATAATTGGGAAAAATTAGGTAAAATTACGTTTAGGAACAAATTTAAATTGTATAGATATAGCAAAAGTTCTATTATTTCCGATTTTTCAATTTTATTTATCTACCTGAAATCTTACTCCAAATTTCAAAAATAGTATATTTTTCGAAAGAAATAATTCTATGTTTTTCTGCGTAAAAACGTCGTTTTTAATAATTTTCCGTATAATAGTTTTATTAATAATTGAGAAAAACAAATTTTTTAGTTCGTGGTTTCGTCATTTATATTATATTATTATAATAATATATAATATGTTATGTTTAATATATTATATACTATATAATATGTTTGAAAGAATAACGATAATACTTTGTCGCAACCGCGTATAATATTTCGGATATAACGGTGACGGTGGAATTTTAATTCCATCGTGGTGAATCGCGCAATTTGACTCGGCCGGCGGATTGGCGCGCGAAATGAAGTCGGTCGGTGATTTATTGTGACGTTTTGAAAAACGACGGTAAAGTGCTCGGTCATGTTCGACGAATAAACATTTGAAGAATCGTAATGAGAAAAAAAATATACTATTCTTGGGGATAACTCGTCATATTATTATAATAATGTACACAAATCGAATATTAATGTATTATTTCAATCTATATATTATCATTATGAATTCGTCAATATTAAACAGCGGCGTGACCAGAAAAGAGAGGGAATGATGGGTGGGCTAACAGGAATTCATCTACCTTCTCCCCTCCCATTGACCATATTTAAGTTTAAAAAAAAAGTGTACTGTAGCTCACTAATCACTAGGCTACTGCGGTTGTTTGGAGGTAGTTTGGCATATAAAATATACAGGCTAATTAAGTTTGTAACGATTAATCATTTCAAATGAAAAAACGATTCTGAGTGAAGTATTATTATTTATTAGTCGGTTTTTCTCGTTTTTAGTAACAATATAGCTTACTAACAAAAAACTTCTCGTTTTCCTGATTTTATTATTGAAATAACTGCAAGAGAAATAAAACAATTACGCACTCTCTCAATTAAGTGGACTCAAAATACTACATGAATATTCTTCTACAGTTTTTAATTGTAATTTTTAGCAGTATTTCTGGCAGACAAGTTCTTAATAGACAGATAAAAAAACCAATACGTTAAAAACAATAATTATTAGTGAGAAAATATTAATCATTAAGACGCATCAACATAAACATAGAGAAAAACTTCAGAATGACAATATTTGTATCATGTCAGGCAAAATCTTTATGGGTGTAGGACAAAATTGCATGTTTTTGAACATCACATATGGCACATACAACCACATTGTATTTAATGTAATTTTGTTTTGTTTTTAGTATTTTTCTTCTGTTCGTATGTTATACGTTTTCATTCTGAACTACGTTAAATCGAATCAAAATAGTCTAGAATAAAATCATGATTAATCTTTTCCTACGTTTATTAAAAATAAATACTATTAATAATTACCTTCGAAATGTGTTGGTGTCAAATTTACACTGAATATAAAATCTATATAAAAAAATGTGTATTTTTTTACCAATATTATACCTCAAAATAATGGTGTATAAGTTAGATAATTGATACAATTGATAATATGTAGATATATTTTGCTTGAATTATTATTATGTATATAATTTTAATTTATTATATAATAGTCTTCCACCACCCATTGGAAAATTCTGAAGGTATACCGGGGGGTATTATTGAAAGTTATTTTTTTTTTTTAGCCATATACGAAAAATCGACGACGAACTCTACAATATTATGCAAAAAATTGAATTTTTTCGTGGTAAAACACAAAATACTCATTTAACAATACTATTAAAACGTTATTTTTAAATTAACATAATGAAAGCTTAATAGTACTTTTTTTATATGCACTTTAAAAATAATAATAATACAGGATGTGGATGTCCTCTAGTGTAATCTATCATATAATCTGTCAATTTTCATTTTTTGTTCTATCTTCTAGGTTTTGTGTCAAGGGCACAAAAATGTAGAAAAACTAAATTTTTATTTTTACCCCTTAATTATAGAAAAATAATAATTTGGTTTACTTTTTACAATCTTCAAAATAGCCAATCCGTAAACTGTTTTATTCGAAAATTTTTAATGTATCATATCTAATTAATAGTTTTTTAGTAAAACCCGTTTTAATTTCAACATTTCTTATCTTGTATTATTGCCATGATTCGCTATTATGAATATTTTTCTAACGTGGAACGTGGAAGTCTCGTTTTTCAAGCCTTTATCTAGATATTAAAACATCTATTACTAAGAAATTATAGATCAAATATGAACGTATGGATCATTACATTCTTTAGAAAATATATTCTACAAATTGGTTATTTTTTCATTTTGATAATGGATGAAAATTCTAATTTCTTTTTTTTTTTTATATTTGTTACCCAAAAAATCTAATTAATAAAAAAAGAAATAATATTGACAAACTTATTAGCATATGAATAATACTGTGTTAAACTCAGTATATATGTAAATAAAAGTAATCTTAAAAAATTTACAATCACTAAACAAAGATAAAAAACAAACTGAATGCAACAATAGACCATTAATGTGCTTTGATCGCTTATTATAAAATATATCCACTTAATATTGTTAAAAATAACATTTTATTAAATCATCGGTTAACACAATAAAATATTTTTTTCAAAAATATGTTTGAAATCGTTTTAGAATTACCTAAATACAATTATATCCACCTAGTATCTACCTAATAATAACTATGTAAAAATCTCGCTAATATAAAGTGCTTATAAGAAGTTCAAAAATATTTTTAGAATATTTTGAACATTTAACCTCATATAGAAAAGCTATATATGTTTTTTGTCAAAATGTCAAGTCTCTACGAATATTTTAAGCTGCATTACAACAAGAAAACAATATTGAAAATAACGAAACCGTTAAATTGTCCCGTTCTTTCTAAGATTATTTCCGGTTTTGTTCGATTACCAATAAAACTATGGAAAATTCAAAAACGAATTTCACTTACAAAATTCAAAATTTAACATTGATTTTCCGATTGAAGCAAGATTTCTCATAGAAAATATAATTTGTATAAATTTAAAATAACATAATATTAACGCTATATGTTCGTCATATTTGTTTTTAAGTTATTTTTGATTTTTCCTAAATATTATTAAAATTGTTTAGAAGATTAAAAAAAAACTATCTTTAATACTCACCAAGAAGATCCAAAATGAAATAAAAAAGGTCTTTTATCATTTTTAGATTGGAATAAGCTTTCTGGTAGAAAAGTTGCTTACAGACATAAAATAAATAAAAAAACACATCATAGTAAAATCAATAGATCCTTCGCTTCGCTCAAATTCTAAATCAAGTAAATGCTAGAATATAAGAAAGACTATTTTGAATTATTTATATCGACATATTACATTTAACTTTATTACTAATCGAATATTCTTCCAATGCCCCCTCCCCGCCCAAAAAACCGATGTGTTTCATGATAACCAATGGCAAATGTTATAGGGTTTTTTTCGCTTTGAAAAGTGTAAAAATCTAGCAAATTATATTGTAAGAAAGTGTTACCACTCAGTTGTTTGCGTGTATATATTATACTGCACTTAAAGAAGAGTTATGTTAATTTCGTTTCACACTGTTTAAGTGTATGTTGTATTTATAATAATAAATATTCGTTGTATTTTTTCTTCTGAAATTGAACGTTGTAGAATTATAATATAGTGCCTGCGGAGTCACATGTTTGTAAAATATTTAGTTTTTGTAAAAACGGAAGTTTTTATCGCAACACTTTTCTCTTCCGGAAAGATCTTTAGTTTTTTAATAATTAATTTTCGTACACCCCCGACAAAGTTCGGGAACAAAATTAATTTCACTCAATTACAAAGAGAGAGTGAAAGACACACGCACACACAAATGAGGAGAGCTTTAATATAAAGTTTTGATCGAAACGACCAAAGAAGAAGAAAGAGGGTTCGTCCTAGCAGAGGGATAAATAATTCATACATAAATAATATTCGAAACTGCGGATTTTTCTGCCCCTAAAGTTACTATTATTTAGCCGTTTTGTATTATACCACGGACTATATGGACATGGACGATTCGTGTTCGCCAATATAATAATTTTACCGGAAAGCGGTCCGTTAAAGTACATCACGACTACGATGAGACGATCCAATCAACCTACGCATAATTTTGTTTAATTGGTTTCTCCACGGAAACGATGAGGACCGATGACGACGAATCGTTTTCCTGACGACTACATAAAGCAACTATTACGAGGACAAAATCGATTTCACCAGGAGCATTACAACCATACGGTATACAATAGTACGCGTGTCTCGTAATCTATAGTATTGTTTTTCATTTTTCTTTTTTATATATATAGGTAATATTTAAGCTTTTGAGTAAAGTGAGGAATTTATTGGTTTTATTATGATTTTAGATTCTGAATGATTTGAGAAATAATTACAACGATGTTTATTTTTTTTTGTGAACAACTTTTTTACCAAAATTTTTGCTCCGATTTTAAACATTGTATGTTTTCTGAAGTGAAATTTTTTCTGAGTAGTACTTTAGAAAAGTAATTTTTTGATTTTCCAAGTGTTTTTTATAATAATTTGGAAAAACTGTGAACAAATGAAGGGAATACGGGAAAATTTACGAAATGTATTATTTTCATGATTCAGTTAAAAATACTCGAAGACTCGAAATTTGGACAGAAAAATTTTATTTGCCTTTTCTAGACGTGATAACATTTTATTTTCAAATAATTTTAGTCGATTTTGTTTTTTTTTTAGCTATTTATAGATTTTTTAATTTTGCAAATTTGTTTACATAATTTTTATTCGGTAGGTTACTTACCTACCGCTGTTCTGTGGATGCAATTGTCGTAACAAACAGAAATTTTTGATAATTTAACATGAGGTTTATTATAACTGAACTCCGCTCAGAATCGTGTTTCATTAGCAAAGATTAATCGTTGCTTAGAGATATATATTAAATATATATAATTATGTATAAATATCCCCCCTTTTAGCCACCTATATCCTACCTTCCTAACGTCTCACCTACAATAGTGGCTTCACCTGTTCTCAGTATTCAATCTTTATTTATAAAAGTTTTAACATTCGATTTTAAAGAAAATCCTAAATTTTACGGCCTTTCGTATCATGTTTAAAGTAGTAATGGATTATCGCTGCTTACAGAAATAAATTAAATAACTTTATATATCCTTCCTTCTAACTGTCCTCCTAAAACAGTGGTACATTCCGGAAGCTGCGTCAGTCTTTTTTAACTTTCATTTTATCAGATCTGGTGATGGCTTAAAATTACTTTAAATTGTACTCAAATCTGAGTTAGATTTTTTGTTATGTCGATAATAATAATAATATTACAAGTGATCATTATAATATTATGAGCAATTGTAAGTGTCTTTTAAGACAACAATATTCAATATCTATGATGAAAAAAAATTCAAATTATATGAGAGTACTGATTTATAAGTAGGAAATAATATTATTCAGACAATTGGATTAATTATGCAAAAACAGTCGAAATTCATGAAAAATAATAATAATAAAAAAAACAAACTATATTCACATATTATAACAAAAGGTCCAGCCGTGTTTAGAACTTCAAGGTACACGTGAATAGGGTACGAAATATTGTTGTGAAAATGGGAAAAAAGGGGATGGGGGTCAAATTTTACGATTCGTTGATATAAAATATTATTGCCAATAATGATTTGAAAGTTTTTATTTTGGTTACCATTATTATTTTTATTATTGTACTATATGAAATAAATGTGAATAAAAGTATGTTATAATACTAAGTGACGACTCTAATAAAAACTGCCACGCCCCACTAATTTCTGATATATTTCACTCAATGGTCGTTCACGATGAAAACTGATTGCATATTTTATGTAAGTGGACTATGATGTGTGAATGATAGAATGATAAAAATTTTACACATATAAAGAAGAAAATTATTTGAGTCATATTAGCATATTTTTTTCCTAAGACATCTAACCTGTTTGTTGTTCCAAAACGTGTTTAACGGAAAAATTCTTATGTTTTGTAGAGTAAACCGATTATAATCATTTTTTTTGTTATTATTATTGGTAAGAGGACAATTTTCTATAGTATATACTAGACTTGAATTATTTTGGAAATTACATTTTTTATAACGCTTTTTATAATAAATTGAACTTTGAATATGAAACATTTTTTAAACTAATTTATGTTCAATGTGCCCTGTAGGAAATATTCCTCATTCTGACAGAAAAATAATATTCTAAATCAGATAATGAGGTCTGTGAGACATGACATTTTTTCCTGTAAAGAATGATTTAAGAAAAATAACAGGTCTATATATTATTATATTTAACACGGTCCCAGTTTTCAAGATCACAACCCTCATTTCCATTGTTACAGTTCGCTTAAAAGCACCATCTCACAATATTTACCACTACCACTTTCTATGCCATACATATATATTAATTAGCATTAAGCTTATTAAGAGCGCTAAATTATGTCTCATGAAGCAATTCCTCCTAATTCTTCCACCTTAAAAGGCGTTACTGTATCACAAAGATAGTGTCCTTTGTTAACAATTCTAATCTCTTCGGTTTTTATCTAATGACCGACATAATATTCTCGTCATTCTTGAAATAGATTATTTATAAAATATTTTAATTATAAGAACGTTGTGAACTATATACAATCCTCACAAATATTTGTATGAGTTTATCTATCCACTTATTTACCCATTTATCTATCGTCTGATATAATTCTAATAATATAATTAAGTTATTACCGAATTAGTTTAGTAAAAACAATTTTTATTAGATTACTATAAGTAACATATTTTGTTGATTTCTAATTATCTTGGTAATAAAGAAAAAAAAGTTACTTATAGTAATTTAATCAAAGTTATTTTTACTAAACTTATGTATAAAGAAACTTAAGAAAACTACAAAGACAATCAAAAAATGACCTCAATGCACCTAGAAAATCAAAAATACTACGAAAAATCTTTTACGATTTTCGATTAGGTTAAGATTTCTAGTAAAAAAATTAACAAGAAAAAAAAAGATGGACATACTTCATATGATGGGTGGGCCACTGTTGTAGGTGAGACTTTGGGAAGGTAGAATATAGATGGCTAAAAGGGAGATATTTATACATAATTATATATATTTAATATATATCTCTAAGCAACGTTAAAATTTGTTATAAATTTATATTTTTTAATAATATCGGTGTGCTAAACTATAATGTCGGATAAACAGATTATGATGTGGACCATTTCTTGACTCCTCCGTTCTAATTTTTTAACGGCTTTAGTACATAAATGGTATGCAATGTTTATAGTTCATCCGATCTTAGTAGTGTGTGCATATTATCAAAATATTTGAAAAAATATTCTTTTTTCGAATAACTACTTGAAACTCAAAAGTCAATATGCGTTTAATGCACGAAATAAAACCATAAAGGTATACAATTTTGAAAATATTATAAACAGATAACTTAACGATTAACGGCTGAATCAACCAAAAATAATTTTACTCAAAATCTTAAGAAATTATGTTCAATTAAAACTTAAAACAAAATACTCCTTAAATGGATTAAATCAGATGCATATACAGACACTTAAAATTCAACAACGGATAGATATAATAATAATATCTAATAACGACCGAAGGTGTAAAGTGTGACGTCATTGACATTATATTTTATATTTGACAAACGAGTTGAAAAAGTTGCCAAACGGTTAAAATTGAGTAGGTGAAAACAATTTTATAAGTAATAATGTATATTATGCAAGTGATGGTTTGTAGATGACGAAAATATCACTAAGTTTTCGATAATAATAACTATATATTATTATTGTATCAAAATTATATTGAGTTGTAATTGTCAATCACATTTGTAGTAGTTTTTGTGTAGCTTTCCGAATTTCCGTAGAAACAAAACACTATAGTTTTCGATTCTAAAATCGTCTTGTATAATTACACATATAAGGTTCCAAAAATAACTCCAAGTCCGGTTTTCCGTTACATTAACTGCAGTATTGCAGTATTTATTATTATTTATTTTTTTCTGTATGATAATATTATTTATTTTTATAACATTACGCTTGCAATCAAAATTGAACGAGTTCGTTATTAGTAGATAACATTCGATTCGATAATACTATCGTCTTATCATCTTTTTATTGTTTTTCAACGTCTGAAACGTTATTTAGTTACTTTTAAACCGTGTAGGTATTCAGTAAGTATATGGAATGAGGAATTATACGGCTATGACGTTTTATAATGTTCGTTCTTATGTCTTATACCGTTTTTTTCTTTTAAAATGAAATTTTAGTTTTTTTAATAATCTTTGTAGCGTCGTGGTGCTAAAAAAAAATACTCGAGAAGATAAAAATAATGCAATATATTCTTGATGGTGTCGTTGCGTGGAACGAATTTTCAAAATTATTATTATTTTAACTTAAAATTGGTTATTTTAACTTTTAGTTATCGTTTTAAATTATTTTTTTCTAAAACTATGTGTTTACAAAATTAATGTACAACTGCAATATATGTATAAATAATGTATAATTTATATAAATAAATACATAATATTTGAATATAATATTTATTCGGGAATATATTCAAATATAATACTTTACCTATTACTTATTATGTATTCAGAAATAATAATTAATTTTACATCACGCACCTATACTGCCTACTTAAAATTTTTTACGAAATTCACAAAAATTCATGAGTGAGCTATGTGCTATGTTCTATGTGTTTTAGATATTAAAGTTAAGGGAATAATATTATTGTACTACATCGTTCTACCTCAGAAGGAAGCATAATGTATTAATTTTTGAAATATAAACGCGCGATTATTAAGTTATTTAGTAGTGCACGAAAACGAACATGGCGGATATAACGATTGTTAATTAATTTAATCATGTGATTCAGTTAATCGTATTTTACGTCTTTGTGTAGTACCAAAGACCCACCTAAAACCCCCCTAATAGTTATTTCGTCAACATAATTTGTTACTTATAAAAGTTGTTGAAATCGGTATTCCGGATAAATATATTTTATTGTAGTGTATAGCTCGGGAATTGAACACTGTATTACGTTTTAAGAGGACGTCACACTACACCTGATTGCTGTATCTACCACATCTACTGTATTATCAACTAATGGGCAACACATCAAAATTACCTTAATTAGAACGTAAAATGTGGCGTTTAGGTTATAATTAAAGTATAAAAATAAAAAAACAAAATTAAAAGAAGAGAATATTTCAAAGACGTAACTTTTTTCAAAAAATACAGAAAAGTTTTAGCTAATAAAAAAAAAAACTAACATAACTATAACTTTTTTGTATAAAAAACGTTCAAAAAAGGAAAATAAACAGGTCTCGAAAGGATTATCTATTAGATTTTATTATTTGTCTAAACGCTAAAATGTTCCGAGTAACGTAATTTTTTAAATTATTTTTTTCAATTATATTGAAAAAAATGATGCGAAAATCAAAAATTTGAATTAGCTCGACTGAATTTGGTAATTCGCCTTGTACCTATATATATATTCGCACTACACACGAGTTCTGATGAATTAATTTAAACTGCAATATTCGACAAGGGGGGAAACAAGGAAACTTACATGCTAACAAAATTACACTATACACGCGTTGTCGTCATCGTCGTTATGTAATACCACTGATGTGCATACCAGAGGGGTAAACTTTGTTGTAGTAGATTTTCGAAACTAAGTACTTATATATCCATACATCTATCTATCTATATATATATTATATACATTAATACTATTGTAATGAAGACATATTAATGGTTCTGAATTTAAGTTATCGCGATAATATATAATATCATATTATTTTGGTGTGTAGTGGCAAATTGCGCCGAGTAAAATTATGTTGTCTGGCAGTATAATATATTATAATATATACATAGTATAGAAGTCGATTATTATTGTACGATATTCCATTAAGAAAAACTGAATAAACTCCGAATTCTGTACTCTATGCATATTTTATGTAAACCGAGCATGGAGAAGGAATTTTTCGGAAATTCTATCATCCGAAAATATATAGGTATATCGCATGTTATCAGAAGAAAAAAAAGTTATAGCTAATCAAAACGTATGATAACTGATATGCAGAAGTTAGAGCCAAATATCAGACGTTTTTTGTTTTTATAATTTAAAGAAAGATTTCAGGATTATTAATCGATTCGTCACGGGGTTAAATGGTGGAATAATAATATATTTATACGCAGTTTCTGCCTGACACACCAAAGGCCTTTGGAACATTTTTTAAAGGACTCCATAGATTACAAATAAAAATACCATGAAAATCAGTGCAATACTAGATTATTGGAAGTCTGTATCATCGGTCTATAATATTTCTAAAAATAACAACGAATTTTGCGGTGAAGTATGTAGGCAAATACCTACTATATTATAAATATGGTATATTCTTATACCATATTTATTAGTATATATTATGGTATAAAAATGATTTTCAGCAAAATTTCAGTTTTCAGTATTTGTGTACGCATTTGCTCGTTCACACAATATTATTAATTATAAATTATTATATCTTATTATCTTACTGTAGTCTATAATAGTCAATTAAAGTCAAATAATACTATGTATCTTTGTACAAAACACAGTTAGTACTTAGTCCTACCGGCGTATTCGAGTTGGGTCCTGTGTTCAAAAATCTATCCTAGTTAGGTTCTAGGTTTATATGGGGCGTATACTAGCTGTGTTCTTGGTTTATGTGGGTAGTTTATTAGTCGTATAGTACTGTAATAGAAATATTAATATTAATAAATGTAATAGTATAGACGTTCAGAAAAATAAAACACAATGTATTTATCCTAATATCTACCAGTTTGTAGACGTTTTAAAAAGTACCCGAATAGATACTTTTACATTATAATGAGAAGATCAGAAAAAAACAAAACAAAATTGTATTTTACAAAAAGAAAAATGTATAAAGGATTAAATGACACAAAAAAATCACTGGTTAAAAAGATTCTTAGTCATAGGCCTGTCAAAATAAGAAGGACAATTTTTTGTATTATAATCATTCTTACTCAACTTGTAAAGATAAACCGAAATCCAACTAGTATAGTACTCAAAATTCATCGAGACCCTGCATCTAGTGTACTACCTATGAAAACCACTAGGAACTGATAGGCTCCCAGATACAACGCGACTGAAGGCCATTACTGCATTTGTGACCTAGTTGCCATGACCAAGATATTGGTTATAATGTTTTAAATTAATTTAAAAAAAAACGTTTTTTTTTTTTTAAATTTTTAATTCACGTGACTTAGTTTTTTTTGTATAAAGAGGACATCATAGTAATATTATCTTCTCACGGGTACAAAAATGTGTTTTCGGTGTTCCGCCAGATTTAAAATAAAATAAATTTCCATCTAATTTCCAATTAAAGATTTCTTACGGACTACTTGATACTCGCATGTAAAGTCTTCGTTTTACAAACGCACCACTCTCCAAATGTGTGTTCAGTTTTACGGACAATTTGCACGTGTGCTATTAGTTTGAACACGGAAGGGAATTAACTTATTACTAAACTTAAAGATGAGAACATTATTTATGTTTTTACTTTTAGTTTCAGATTCTGAGTGGAGTGAAAAATCTTATGGTTTTACAAAGATGTTTATATTTATTTTTTTTGTTTAGTAGACAACTTTTCTAACAGAAGACTTACTCCGATTTTTACGTGTAGCAACTTTTCTAAAAGGAAATCAGTATGAGGAAGTATTTTAAACAGACCGTTTTTCGATTTTTTCCGGAGTTTTTTCGTGAAAAGTGAAGAACTGAGAAAAACATAGGAAAACCGTGTATAACATGGGGAAATTTATAGAGACTATTTAATTATTTTATTATAATACAGCATATATATTGTTAACAAAATATTACTGAACTCAACTAAACTTAGAATCGTTTTTTCATAAGCAATGGTTATCCTAGGACATCTTTTTTGATTTCTAAGCGATATAACGTATGAATGTTTTTATCTCGATTGAAAATTAAAATCGAAAAAACCGACGTAAAACACAAAAATTGCATAAAATCGTTCCTGTTGAATGTGATTGCGTAATGCATTTGTATTTTATTATTTTCCATCCTATTACAAATAATAATAATACAGCTAAAAATGTACTAATAATAAATATGCCCCGAATACGTTTTTTTATCCGCTCCTCTTGGAACGCTGTCTTAAATATGAAAACAACGCAAAACGATATCAGGTAAATAGCAAAAGCCGAGATGTTTTGAACCGTGTGAAATACAAGCATAATATTTTAATAATTTGTATATTATAATATAAATTATATATGCGTAGGTGCAACTAGACATCTAAAACGTTAGTGCTAAAATTATAAATGCCTCATAGAACTGTGAGGAACCACTACACTACTACTTCTAGAAGTAAATATGCTTATAAGTTATATAAACGATAATAGTAAGTATAAACTTACTATTATCAATACTTTTGATTATTTTATACATAATCCAGATAGAGTACATCTTTGGTGCAATTTTTTTTTTACCGAAAATCGAAAGTACATAATAAAATGCAGTATTACTCTCAATGCTGTATTCTAACTATTCTAAGTTATTTAGTTGGCTACGGAATTGTCTAAATTGATTTTCAAATTACTATTTTTCATATGGATAAAAACGCTATAATGTATGTTTTGAATTTAGAGTATTCAAATTTAGGTTAGAAATTAAAATATAATCAGTCCTTACTGCTAAAGTTAAACGACGTGTACCAGTATTTACCCAAATCATTAATGACTATGAAGTTTTTAACACACTCGGAGAATAAAGTTTCTTGGATCATCCAAGTATATGTTTTCACGCGTCAGTTTTTTTTTTTTAAACAAACTGAATATTTCAAACAAATAATAAGATTATCATAAAATGGTTAGTAAACGCAACAGGTAAACACGGACACTTACATGAGTACTCAACGGTAAACAAATTTAACGGAAATATATTATGATATGGCCAATAAAATATTTAAATAAAACTCAACGGAGGTTTATCAGTAATTTCGCATTCCACTGACGCGTTTATCTTTATCGTTCTTTTTTATGTGATCGATTAACTAAAAATAGTTCGTAAGCAATTAATTTCTCCGTAACGTGTAACTTATCGCTAATCGTCTATAATTTTTGTCAATCATAGAAGTATGGAATAATTTGTGTTAACTAATTAACTTCATTTGAATCGTGACCATGATATGTTACGAGTTATGAGTTTATAACTTATCAAAATAGTTAAAATTTTTTTCGGTAAATATTTCATAATCTAAAAAAAGAAAATTGATGATATTTCAAACTTAATTATGATATTTATGACCTAAAAAATTTGATCCCGACAGCGCTTAATACAATAAGACACCCCTCCCTTTAATTGCACCACTGATTATATGCACTCGGAATCTAAATGTTTCCTATGATATATAAACCTGAAGTGAATTCAAGTCGCGACATCGCGTGAATTATAATTTATAACACGCAGCCGTTATAACCGCACGGACCGAATCCGCGGTGATTTAGTGGCGATGACGGTTTTAACCGCGCGCGCGGTTTTCATCCATCGGTTCTTACTCCACGATCGTATGACGTCGCGCCATCGTCGAATTTAAAATAGTCTTCTCGTGTACACGTGTGGTTTTCGAGTACTTATATATATATATATAAATAATATACACTCGCATATTATATAGTGCAGTACCCGAAAACGACGACTAGGGCGGAACGAGTGCCAGTGGATAAGTTTTGGTAAACGCTTAAAACTCGGGATATGACTACGCGCGTCTTTTAACACCGCGGCAAGATGAATGTCGCCGCTCGCGGAATTAAATGCTCGCGAGCGCCGCCAAGACGATTCACCAGTTATATTCGCTGTACATTTGTAACTCAACTTTTGCCATTTATACTGCACATTTATGTATATACGTTATATATATGTACGCAAAACACGCACCCTTTTCTCTATCTCTACTCTCTTTCTCTCTCTCTTACACACACACACACACATATACACTTATAATAAATAATATAGTTGATATTCGTACTTAGGAGTATGCATATGTGTGTGTTTGTGAAATCTTTCTCTCTCTATATATATAATAATAATAATATTATATAAAACGACACCCTAGCTCTCGGATTGCTGCACCCTCTCTCGGATTAGCGATTTGGTCGATCCATCATACTGCTGCGGAGCTTTTCAACGCAACATATTTTAATATAGGTATAACTTATATAAACCACCGAAGAATATTATTATATACAGAGTGTTTCGGTACAAACTTTCAAAACCACGATTTTATACATCTAAGAATGGAATCAAAAATCTTTATATTATTCTGCGTATGTTTTGTAAAAACGGAACTAACTGGTCGTATAGAACTCCAGGATCTATTCTAATGTTATAAATGGGCAGGACATGCAAACTAAAAACAGCGATCAATAATGACTGTAACTACTCAACGGGAAAATGACTACTACTGGGATAACCTCACTTAAATTGGGAAGATTGTACAGAGATACAGTGAAGGGCATTAATGGATGGATTAATGACTAGTCTTTAAGGCAGTTGTTCCTAAAAAAGAAGTAGAAAAAGAAGAGTGAGTATTAAAATAGGGGTTTCGGGGCTCGATGAATCGCGTTTTACATGTTATAATTCGTTTCAATATTTATATTGTTAATTGAAATAGCAACACGCGATATAGGTTTCAAAGTTTGTACAGACAAACGACTGAAACACTATGTATACATGACGACTCAAGTCAAGTAGTGTTCGAAAATTTCACGGTTTCACTATTCACGTTCCTTGTTATTATACATACATATTATAATGCGGGTGGATTATTGGTATATTGGCAAATTAAATGCCATTTTAACTTTTCTAGTTACATAGACTGCACTGAGTTCTGCGTCTACAAAGCCATATGTGGTAAATCGAATCTCAGATAAAAATAATTATTGAATGGTATCTACTTTTCAGCTCGAATATCTTCCATATGAAACGTTTTGTTTTTTAGCACCTATATTATATAACTAGCCGTTCCGCGTCCGGCGTTGCCTGTGCCAATTTTTATTATTATTTTACTCATTTCAATTGTCGGTTTTGGCCGTTTCAGAATTGAAATGAAAACAAATAGGTGGAAAGTGGGTAGTACATATTTGGCGGACTAAATGTGTTCTATTGTGAAATTTTAATAGTGCAAGTTATAGTAATAATAATAATTATAATAGTTTCCTTGTCTGTAACACCATGGTAACCCTCGAATAAACAATAATAAATAAATAAGCAATTAGATATTCATACCAAATATACTTAAAACCCCCTATTTTACCTCCTTAAGGGGAAATAGAAATTAGACCTAACTGAACCGAATTGGATCGCTGTAAATTCCAAAATAAATTAGACAGAATAGACGAGACCATGCAGAGCACTACATTGTAGAATTTACTATAAATCGTCAAGTTTCCAAAAATTAGTGTTTTGTGTAAAAAAATACACATTTGTTTCGTTTAATATTTGTAGAATCTCTATGAACTATGCATACATAACATTATGTGAAGTATACCACAAAGAGCTTTTATTAAATTACGATAATCTAAAATTGCAAAATCCAATTTATACTATAATAGATGCAATGTTTACGTAGCATTATTCACTACTAGAATCCGAACTATTTTCTCGTTTAAGTTATACTATTTTACTACAAGTAATTACTATAACGTTTGGTTGGATCTCGAATACCACGATGCGTATTATATGGCTGTATAAACAGATTTCCAACAAAACCACAAAATTATAACAAATACACTGGGTTTCCATTGAATTCGTTTAACTTTAATTTCATTTTTGCATATACTTTAGATTTTGAGCGTATTGGTTTTATTAAAACGTGTGCTTTTATCCTATCTGTAAACAACTCTTTTTACCAGAAAACATTATTTCCGATATTTATTTTTGTCTACTTAGTGCTCCGAGAAAATCATTATTTAGTTTTCCATAAAGGTTTTTTAACAACTAGGAAAAACCGGGGGAAAAGAAACATTTACATTTAATAGTTAAAATAATACAAAATTGAAATTTTGTTTTTTGTTGTTACAATTCAGTTAAAAAAATTGTGGGACTTGAACATTTTCACTGAGTCCTTAAATCAGATATTTCTATTTGTGATATAATTTCTAAAAAAATTTCTGTTTTTTGAGTTATAGCAATTTAAAAATTTCGAATTTTTCAGTTTTTATTTTCAGGTTTTATACGGATAAACCAATTTAAGCTCAGAGAAAATGCTTGAAGATTTGATACAGATTTCATTATAAGTGGTATTATTAGTGGCCGAAGAAAAAAAATTGTTTTAAAGACTTTTTTGATTCCATTATATACATAAAAAAATCATGGAAATTGTATAATTTATTTTACTGTAGATTCAATCATTAATGTAAATTCTTCAAACCATATTTAATTAAACTTTATTTATAATCGTTTTTCATTTACAATGATTTATCATTGCGTACGGTTATAACCTAAATTACCTAATATCCTTGTCCCTACTTTTTGAAACATCTAGTAGATTAAAAATACAATAGTAATATCCAATTTATTCTTACGTGAATAATAAATTATTTTTTAAATACTTATTTTTTACTGACGACCTAAAATTATTTATAGTCTTTAAGAACAAGAAGGACCAATTATACTTAAAATGTATCCTAAATTGGTTTATTGAATGGGGTACTCTAAATGGTCTACGAGGTGTGGCTATTAAACAACGAGACTGCCCGCCTAGAGGGCGCCCTAGATGGGTACTGAAAAAAACGAGTAATGCGTTGGGTATCTAGATATCTTATTTATGCTCGTACCAAAACACGTTTTCGTCACTATTATAGTATTTGTGCAATAGTGGTTTGAAACGAACGTGTTTTTTTTCTCGTGCCGAAAACCTTGTGTGACGAAAAACTTGAGCAACGGATAAACGTAAAATTTTCTCGTTAAACTAAAAAAAACTCCAACTGAGTGCTATAAGTTGTTAAAAGAGGCCTATAGTGAGGATTTACTATCTCGGGCACGTATTTTTGAGTGGCATAAATTATTTTTTGAAGGTCGAGAGTGCACCGGAATCCAATTCAGTCGTAATCCAAATTCAAAACCGTTTTCTTCGATATCAACGGCATCGTGATGACTGAATGGGTTCCAGAGGGTCAAACTGTGAACCAACATTATTACTATTTGACATTTTTGGCAACATTGCGCGAATGAGTTCGTAAGAAACGGTCGATATTGTCGAAAAACAAGTCGTGGATTTTGCACCAGGATAAAGCGTGAAGCGTTATTTGGCCGCTTAAGGCACTCCAGTACTCGAACACGCGTCTTACTCACCCGACTTGGCACTCTGCGACTTTTACTTGTTTCCGAAGATAAAGTCTGCCTTAAAAGGAATCCGGTTTGAGTCGATGGAAGAGGTGAAACAAAAATCGGCGGAACTCCTGAATGGCCTTACGAAAACAGACTTCCAGCACTGCCTCGAGCAATGGAAGAAACGAATGAAACGGTGTGTGGCGAGGGGAGGGGAGTATATAAAAGGGAAGCATTTGAATGTAGAATAATTTTTATAATAAAACACTTTTTCGTAATCAGTATCGTTATTTAATAGCCACACCTCGTATACGTAAATATTGTAAAATGAAAGCGAATTTCATTTTATTGTAGTCGAATATGTAATAAATAATGTGAAATTAGTAAGAGTGTGGACATTGAGGGACTTAGGTTTTATTATCATCTGATCTTATTTTCAAAGAGCATTTAAATACCATTTGTGCTAAAGCTTACAGAAATTTAGGGTTTTTTAAAACAAATTGTGTAGGGTTTAATTACACTGCTTAAGCACTTTGTTTTTTGTATTAGAAATATCTTGAATTGGATTCAGTTGTCTGGAATTCTACGTAACTGTGCCTTGAAAATAGGATTGACAAAGTTCAATGACGTTTTCTTCGCATAATAGCACATAAACTTCTATTGAATAGTTTTCTAAACTGTCCTGGTATATTGAAAAAAAAATATTTTAATGCATCACAAGTAAATACCTCGTAGTTTCCATATTGAATCTTACATTAAAAATTTCGCAGCCTCATGTATCGAACTTTTAATTCTTATAGTGGTTTAAAAAATTTAGATTTTCTTTACTGAAAGCTTCTGATTAATGCACCTTTAGTATAGCATATTATTTTTTTAAACTGTTTTACATGTTTACTATATATATGTTAAATATTATGTGTACTACTATATTGTACTTTTGTCTCATTGCGTAAATTATTTAATAAAAAAAAAAATCACATTGAAAATATCTCGACTAAAATCCAATGGAAAGAGGGTTAATTCACCCAAAATATGTATATATATATATATATATATATAAATACTGTTATAATAGTTATTATAACGTTTAATGCGTTTTTCAAGTAAGGTTCAAATAATATTCTTGTTATCTTAAAAAAAAAAAGTTACAAACGGACGAGTCGCTTTATCTTTATTGTTATTATTATTTGTTTTCTTCTTCTTTTTTTTTTTAATGAATATAAAAAGTCGACCGAACCGTGTTTTAAGTTTGCGGGCGAAAAATGAATTGCTGCAGTACACAAAATATACACTGCAGAAACAGGCCATTTTTACGACGAAAAACTGTATATATTATACAAACCGTGAACACGTGTGTATATATTATATTATACATACAGATTTTTTAGTTTTAGAATTTTTGTTTAAAGGAATTGAAAGCGGTCTGTGCAACATAAGAATTTAGACGCTTTCTATTTCTAATATACAGATAAAATGAAATGAATAATAATTTTAAAAACAGATTTGAATTTATCGTCAAGTTTTTGTTCTCATCCCATAAATTTTTAAAAAAAGTCATTATAAAAGGAGTAACTAAAAAAATGAAATATTTTAACTTTTTGAAAAACTAAAATAAAAACTAAAAAAATTAGGAAATCTGATTTCAAGTAGACTTGACGAAAAATACAAATCTGTTTTCAGAATTTGTATTGCTTCACTAGATCAATTAGAACATTTGAAACATAACGTGGCTAAATTTCTATGTTGTACTTGTTTTCTTACACAAGGATAGAAAATCACCTCTTCCAATCTCCTTCACAAAGAATCTATTAATTTTATAAAGACGTGATTTTTCTCAAAAATCATTTTTAGTGTTTGTAAATATGTTTTCATATTTTCAAAGTAAAATATGGAAGAATAATAATTTCTTGACTTTAGTTGAAACTCCTTAGAATTTTTTTCTAAAATATTGCTTTTAAATTTTTTTTTTATTTCAATCTGTTTTAGTTAAGAAGCATATACTCTTATTTTTTTACATATTATTTAATAAGAGATGCGGTATTTTTGCCAATGGTCATATATCATTTGAAACAATTATCGGTGTTTTAAATAGTGGTTATACTTTAGATCATTTTGGTTTTGTTTTTCGAATTGTATTAAATTTTGGATTATCCTTTAGCAACCAAGAATAAAATATGACTTACTCTACTGTACTTTGAATCGTATTCGAAATTACTCTGTGCATCCTGTTACTTTCCCAATTATTCACCTTGACAACTGCAGTGTCCTACATGTGAGTGATATAATTTTATATTTTTACGTAAGCTACATATAATTGCAGTTTAACACAATGTCTTGTTTATACAATAAAAAAAACCAACAGTGAAAAATAAATCACGTAGTAATTTGGTTAATGAATTTAATTTTAGAGTATAAATATTTGCAACGGTTTTAGAGAAAGAGTCGCTTCTGTGAGATTAATAATACAATATAAACGGTCCGGTATTTTTGCTTCAGGGTATAAAACACACTTGATTGAACAAAGTTTACACTAAAATTTATAATTTTATATTATTATATCGTGTTATTTTTCCCAGTGTCTAAAAAACTAATTACACTCACACATGAGTCTCAATCCTTAGGGGTGGAGGTATCAAATTAGCTCTTTCCGTTTGTTTGTCTGTTTCTCTTTCTCTTTTTTTGCACATGTACTACTGCTACAGTACTTGGTTATAACAACAACAATAATAATAATTATTAACGAAACTTTTACACAATGAGACTATTATAAAGGCTCCCGGTGGCGGCGGCGCCTAACGAGTATTTGTTAAACACTCTCGAATTCATCGTTTAGATCTCTGCAGAAAGGCGAAATTATAATAATTAAAATTCATTTAACGCAAAAGCAAGTGCTCTGTGTAGCATATATTACGATAAAATATTATAATTGAGTGGTAAGAACAGAAAAGGATTCCAAAGTTAAAAAAAAAAAAATTCAGACCCACTTTTCATCAGGATATCGGTCTTTGGAAGCTATTAAGATTTATATTTATATTTTTACTGTAACCGAAAAAGTATTTTTAGAATCCAAAATTATATTTTAGTTAAATAGATTACATTCTTCGATACACTAGGAATCTAAAAAATGTATAATACCTGTCTGCCTATTTAATTTACAATCAACCAATATAATGAATTGTATGGTTTTCTTTCGATACTGAGCGTAGTGAGGGATTTCTTGGTTCAACTATTAATAAATTATAAATCATACATTTTTTTTCTATCTGTACACAACTTTTCGAAAAGAAAACTTGTTCCGATGTATCGGAGGGTATTTTTTCCGAATGGAAATTATATCTTTTTTTTCAAGAGGGATTTTTATTTTTTAAATAATTAGGAAAACCGAAAAAAAATTAAAAATGAAAAACGATATAATTTACGGCGTACGATGAAATAAGAGAAATATTGCTTCAATATAAAAACAACAAAAAAACAATTTGTTTTCCTTTTTAATCTTGTTGAGTAAAAACCAGGAATTTTTATAAAATTTATTATTTTCAATTCTGTTTTTTGTTGTGATTCAATTGAAAATATCGTAGAGATTAGAAAATTAAACAGAAATTTTATATTAGCCTTTATAGATATGTTACAATTTTCAAAAATTTTTAGCCATTTTTGAACTATTGTTTTCAGATATTTTAATTTTGCGAAGATTTTTTGTAATTTTCATTTGATACTCTTTAGTACTCTGTCGGTAAAATGGTTAGATTACACAGAAAAGCTTGAAAATTAAACAAGAAGTTCATTATAAATCATACTTAGTGTTCAAAAAAAAATAAAAATTAGTATAATATGTAGTGTTTTTCTATTTTGTAAGAATTTTAATGAAAACCGTAAATATTACGACATTTTAAATTATATATAACCGATCATCGCTTCGAATTGTTTTTCATTAGTAATGGTTTATTTTTGCTACTGATTTTAACTAAATAACTTAATTTATTCTACCTTTTCAACTTCCTACCTACAACAGTGGCACACCTGTCCCCAGTATTAACTTTTTTTTTTTACAAATATAATTTTCGCGTAAATAAATCGTTTAAATATTTATAAGAAAAATAAAAACACCTAATTAAAACATTTTCATAACTATTCATTATATAGACACCACCTACCGATATAAAATGATAAATATTATGTTTTAAAAGTTCGCAGGGTTTTTTTTACGCATAAAATTAATATTAATGAATTAAATCGGATACGGAACTGCAAAGACTTTTTGTATTATTTTCTATCTTTATGAATGGAAAAAATGGTAACAATTAAATCCATATTTTCCAAAATGTATAAAATATACAATTAAAAACTCTAAAAGTTCTGCAAAAGCGATTAAAAATATATAACTATACGGAAAGACTAATTATATATTTCTGAAGTTTGAAGTAAATATTCGACCTTTACTTTTCATTAAGTTATATTATTAAACAAAAATTGTTAACTCGCATAAGATTATTTCAACTATTGCGGTATTTTAAATTTAACCCTCTCCCTCCCTTCCATCTATTTTATACTAGAACAGTGTCGAATTTTAGTATTTTACAGGTATAAATATTTTGTATTGAACATATTATAATATAGGTTAACCAAAATATATTATAAAAATATCGATATGCTATTTTCCTAAAAGAAATAGTTAGGCATAGGAACGCATCTTGCTGCTGATAGGAATATATTAAATATATGAACATTTTTAAAATATCGTTAAATAGTTGTATGGTTTTTTTTTTCAAGTAAAAAATGTATAAATAATATACTAACTAAAATATGTAATAATATATAATAGTAATTTTGTATCATAATTTAATATTCGTCGTACCCTTTTAATTGCAGCTGCATTATAATTATATGAACGAGTATAGCTGTTCGGTATTTGATACCAAACAACAATTTTGTTTAAATATTTCGGTTATCGCGCTGAAATAATAATTAAACGATATTATATAAATTCGTATTGTGTTCATACTTAACGAGTGTATAAATTATACCGCAATTGTATATAGTATACAACATTTAATTTTAATAGTATACTTTTTATCAAAATTGTTCATGTTATAAATAACAGTTTGTATTTAATATGACTTATAAGGGGTGGTTGAAGTCCCGTTAGCCCCCCCCCATCCTGGGTGTTATTATTAAATTATTTTATTAAAAAACTACAAAAAGTATGAAAAGGCAAATATTTTCTTGATTATCAGTAGTAAACGATTAGAATGATTGTTTGTTCGTAATACTCGGATAGCCGATGATCAATATACTGAAGAGAGGAGTACTTACTGATGGTGAAAAAAACAAATAGAACGAGACCATTGAAGAGACCTAGAACGACGCTACAGGTGGATCGATGTCATTACCAAAGATCTATATAAGAAGCCAGTACACAGAGAGAATAGAGAGAGATGTACAACATATTTGAAAATGGTAGTTATGGTTTTTAAAGAAGAAGACAATTATTTGCCCCTATTTTTACCAACAGTATTATTTGTAATTAATTGCCAATTTCAGAAAGCGGACGAGTCCATTTTTATCGATTTTGATTTTATTTATTATTCTTTTTGTACCTATGCACACGTAAATATCTAAATGGTTCATTGCAGAAAGGAGACGGATCCAACAGTTTAAAAGTTTAAAAATACTGTTCGATAATTACAAAGTTTACGAAGAAATATACTATAAAACACTATGGTTACTGAAGAAAAGTTACACGTACTTGACGTAAACGTAATATAGTGCCACAACATGTTTAACGTTCATAACGGTGCAAAGGATAAAAAGATACATATGTTCTGCAGAGCCAAGATATTGAATAGGTACATAATAAACAAAAAAAAAAAACTGATTTTTTTGTTACTATAATATCTATCGCATAGAACATTTAAAAGCATACAAATCTGGTATCTATTATGCTGTTACGTTATGGTGACGATTCTAAAAAAATATTAATTTAACTAAAAATATCGTCAAAACTGTCATCGGATATAATATTATTATTATTACGCGGCATGTCGACGGGAAATCGCGTCAGAAGACGACACCGTCGTCGTCGTCGTCGTACGATAGTGTCGGGAATTTATAATAATGTATACGTATTATAAAAGCTGTGATATATGTGTATATATATATATATATATATATATTCCTCGTGTAGCCGGTCGCCGAAAGGAACGACATATTTATATATACGCGTCGTCCTATAGATTTTATCAAACAATCGGGTGACTGAATAGCTACTCTGCTGCAGTCGACCCGGTTCATATTCTCTTATTCTAGACGAGACAGCGAACGTTATATATTTATAGTCCGGGCCCGCACTCTACTATGTGGAAATAAAAACGCAAAATCGCCACCGGGTTCTGCCGTGGCTCGCGGGTCAGTAAAAAAAAAATGAAATTAATAAAACTAAATTCTTAGATGTAGCCATCAAGGCCGAATATTGGTTAAAATAATGATGTTTATATGAATCGCCGAACACAGAATTTTAAAATTTAGTCAAGTCGGTGATGATTGTTTTTTAAATTTTTTTCCAACTGTATTTAAAATATTTACAAATATATGGCATTTTCACAAATACTTTATTGACCTTTTCTAGGCGTGTTTTAAAACATTTTATCGATTTTTGAGTTATTTATAGGTGTTTTATACATTTAATTTTTTTTTTTTTTTAAAGTTTTAGTTTTTATTTGGTAGCTACAATGTGGATAAAATAGTAATTAAAGCATGTTTTTAGAATCAAATATTTACGAAAATGGTAAAAATTATCAGATTTCAAAACATGTATAAATGAATTTCACTTAGCATCGTATATTTTTAGTAATAGTTTATCTTTGCTTACAAATATAAATTAAAAAACTTTTTTTTAAAAAATTTATATTTTGCGAATTGTGACGCAAAAAGTGTTTTTAAAAATTATTTTCGATTTTTGAATTGTCGTTTGCGATCAGTATTATTTTAGATGAATTTACGTATACGCGGAAAAATTATCGGATCATCACACGAGTAACACTGAAAAGGCAGTATTCCAGCGATGTTGTGTATCATGTGTCGCCATGTCTATATAATATATGTTGATTATACTAAAAATGTAACTTATCATTACAAAATAAACTAAAGTTAAAATCACTTCAACTCTGGATATTTCTCGGTAGGGCTTGATTACTAAATGTGGTCAAGATTACAATGGACAATCAGAATACGATAAAAAACACACGACATACGACGCCGTTTAATACTATTTTAACAATCACACCTAGATCCAATGAAAATTGAATTCCACATTGATATTACAGTAGCTCATATCCTAAAAATAAATTTCAATGAATTTCGGTCGCTTTTCGACAAAATGCATTCGATTTTCGATTTCGTAATAATATTATTTACAAACACACTGCAGAACATGCTATACCATCATTTCAATAATAGTACTTTATTCTCAAAATATTTTAAGGTTTGGAACAAGCCAAATCCAACGAAAAAAGGCCGTTCATGTTTTTATTATTATTTTTTTTTTTGAAGGAATTCCCACGTAGTATGTTTTCGATGATCTTTTGTATTGGGTCCGTTACCACGACTGTAGTCAATATTTGACTTTTTATTTTTTTATCTTCAGGGGACACACTTCATGTTTTATTATTTCGTATCTGATAACGTAATTTTGTATACAAACCCGGATATTTGCGTATGTAAGTATTTATATTATTATTATTAATATTGTGTATGAGGAACAAGTAAATTATTCTCTATATTAATATACAATAATTTATTAAAGTTAACATTGATACGATCCGTCGAAAAAAAGGATATGTTTTATTTCCGTCTTGAACAGCATGTTTTTACTTTAGTTACAATATTTTTGAAACCTGATTATCATAGATACTATCATATACTAATTATTACAATAGAGTGGATACATGGAATGGAAATGTATGTGGACACGTCATCAATAAAACAACGGGGAACTGACGAAAGAGGCACAACAAAGAAATAGCATAAATAATCAGGGGATGTTAAGGGCCAAAGGATTTAACGGTTAGTTCAACTAATGCGAAGAGGTGAAGACATGGCAGTTTGGGCAGTAGCTATTGAGTGAAAACTCCCAAAAAGAAGACCTAGAGAAGACCAAGGAAAATATAAATTGAATAATAAAATGGGATTTCAAAAATCTAAAAATCGAAAACTGGTTAGTCAGTTTAAGATGATTACTGGTTGGCACAGTTTAATAATAGTGGCTAAAACTCTTAGAAAGTAGTCATGGTATTTCAAAATAAAGATAGAGTGAGAGAGAGTGAGCGAGGTATAGAGTAAAGTACGGAGTAAAACGAGTTAAACGATTTTATTAATTTATTACGCATTGTTAAATATATCTATCGAACAAAAAGTATTTAATCTATTGTTGTGTAATTTTAGATTTATGATATTATTATAAATGCAATTATATATTTAAACCATAAAATGAAAAAAAAAATTATCTCGTGACTGTGTAATTTTTTGAGTTATAATCCATTAATAATGCCTCGATATTTAGTTCAATACTATAACACTTTATAGGTAGCTAACAAATATTTAACTCTGAAATTTCGGAATGAAATCTGGTCGGTTTATATGTATAGCAAAAGTTTATTCGTTTGCCGAAAACAGCGGAGTACCTTATTATATGTATATAGAAAAGATAAACATTTTAAAAAGAATCTAAAAACTCGCGATAAAGAGAAACTCTGTATAGAGGATTTGAATATTTTGCAAGTATTGGTCTTGTGTATTCGTATATGTTAAAAAGTCATTATTTATACATTAGGAGGTACACTGCATATTAGTTTTTTTTTCATAAAGTTTATATGACTAAAAGTAAAATTTCATGGGACGCTACAAAACTCGAATACACGCGATGAATTGGATTTTAATATTTAGTTTGTGTGCAGAACAATTATGTTATTTAATCAATAAATACGTTTTTATTAAATAATTTAGATACACAAATATATAATGGTTATAATTCAGTTTATATTACTGTTTAATATTATTTATCTTCTTCCTCCTCTGATCTTCAATCCTTCGATTGGTCAGCAAATTTTGTTATACGTTATAATTGCTTAATCAGATATTTTAAATTAGTTTTATTACACGAAAATACATTTACTAGAATAATTGATTCAAGTGTGATGATAACAATTTTTTTAAATTTATATCCGTGATAACGACTAAACTATTGTAAATTGTAATTGTGTGCTATATAATATCAAAACTACAGAAAGGTTTATGCAATAGTAAATAACTTTATGGACATAGCAGGGGCATATTTAGGAATTTGTTCATGGAAAGGACTGAAATAAATAATATAATACAAGGCTGGGGAGATTATACAATAAAGTTATTTATCGAAAGGTTTATTGATAAATCGTTTATGCACTCCGACATTAGTGTTTATAAAATATTATTCATGAGTTTGTCGGAATATTTACAATACTATTTGTATTGTATTTAACAGTGCGAACGAAAATTTTTAAATTTCGTTATTATTTTTTTATGAAATATTCAGTAGATTACATAAACATGTAATAAAATAAACTTTGTTGTATTGTGTGTCAAAGAAAACGATAGGTATTTTTAAACTTAATTAAACGTTTTATTACTGTTTTAAAAAATTAATTCAAAAAGTTGTATTTTTTTAAAAACTTTTGCTCGGTGTTTTAGGTATATGCGTAAATAAAATATGCAATTAAAAAAAATAAGAATTACTTTTTTAAAATGCTTAAGTAATATTAAAATCTTATTAATTACATTATAGAAATTAAATCATTCAATAAATATTATTATTAGATTATTTACTTATATCTGTATCAAATTAATATCATATTACCATTTTAATATGTTTTTACAAAATAACTTAAATATGTGTCTGGTCTTTTGAATTTAACACGAAGTTCATCATAGGTTAATAAAAAGATAAAATAATTAAGCGTATTATTGTAGTACGTTTTTTTTTTTTTTTTTTATAAACAATTTCTAGAAATGGAAAAACATGTTTAACATGTTTAAGTCTGTATTGTTTTTTCAGTAGCAATGACTTATTGTTGAGTACAGACTAGAGCTGCATATTACATGTGTCTGAACTATAAACATAAATTAAATAACTTTACGTATCCTTTAACTTTCTAATTTTTCACACTTACAATAGTGCCACACTTGTCAGCAGTATTGACTCTATTCTTTTGATTACCCTATATACTTTTCTTAATAATAGGTCGGATAAAACCGATGAAAAATTGTTTACTTGATAATGGATTTGTATATTTTATAATTTATAATATAATAGACTACGAATTTTTTTTAATTATTCGAAATAGCGGTACGGTAGAATATTATTATATACTGGAAGAAACCTTCTGTTGACGAATTATCAGTATGTTTAAAAATGTTTGAAGAAACTAAAACAATACTTAATGAAGTCAGAAGGTATGCTTTATTACTAAGAATTAGCTCGTAGATCGTATAAATTTAAGAAATGATTCCAACGGCCATTCTAAAAGAATTAAAACAAACTTTGTAAAATGTACCAACCTGCATCCGTATATACTCGTATACAAAGATTCGAGGGTCGATAAGTACCTAGATGAAGTGGTAGAATCGGGAATAGATCACATATTTCACAATTTAAAAATGGTCCATCGCTACACAGTAATTCATTCTTAATGAACCGAAAGATTTCCTGGAGTTCGATTTTGGTTTTATATTCTTATCACAGCAAGAAATTTATTGGTTTTACCATGATGTATTTTAAATTCTGAGTAAAGTAAGGAATGTAATATTGGTTTTATAGTTATGTTGTTACAATTTTCAAGTGTAGCACCTTTCCTAACTAGACATTTTATCTAGTTGATACTTTAGGGAGGTCTTTTCTAATCGGTTTTCATAATAGTCAAAAAAACCATAGAAAGAACGGAAAAATTAACGAAATTAATGCTTTTATTATTTTATATTTTGTTTTTTTGTTATAACTATGTTAAAACTATTCGCAGATACTTGAATTTTTGAAAGAAAACATATTTATTTCCAAAAAAATTTAGTTATTTTTGAGCTATTTATGAACATTTAATTTTATTTTTAGTTTCTTACGTAATTTTTATTCGGTAGGTACTCCGTGGATACAATTTTTAGAGCAAACAGAGATGCTTGAGATTTTATTAACAGGATCAATATAAATTGAATAAAGTAGTTAACGGGAAAAAATTGAGTTCAATGTACTATTTTTTTTTATAAGAAATTTAATATCAACATTTGACGAAATCGTAAAACGGTTATTTAAATTTAAAATTTGTAAACCCAAACGCTGCTCAGAACCGTTTTTTGTTAGCCATGTTATTAAATATGTATCTATTTATTCAACTACCTTCTCAGATTCTCACCTACAACAGTGGCCCATCGTGCGAAATATTTCCATCTTTTTTCTTTTTTTCTGTTTGTTAACAAATATTTTATCGACAATTTGATAAAAGTTTTCTTAAATCATTTTGGATCAAATTTGAGATACGTTGTAGTACAACCGTTCATATTAAAATTGATACTTCGTGAAATTCCATTATTCATGTTTACAAATTAGCTATTTGTATCCGTTAACTATTACCAATGTACCACACTTGTATTTATTTTTTTAAATTTACAGAATATACAATTCTAATATAAAAAACAAAACATTTTGATTATTATTACTTGGATTTTAACTACAGATGCAGAATTCATTTCCGTATGTAATTCGCATTTCCATGTAATCGAACGTTGTAATCTGCTATACAAAAGTCTGGTAAATGATTATAATGTTCTTTTGTTATTTATATATAGTTTTAAAAACGATCTGTTCTGTAGTATTTTGGCTAGATTCCAAAAAGGAAATTGCTCTCGATAATAATAATGTCTGTAGTACCACAGGCGTATATTCGTATACTATAGTACCTTAAACTTAATAATTAATTTTTCGTAGAGGGGGAAAAACTCCAAAAAAGTTTCGTGAAGAAAGCTACCTATATCAAAATAAAATTATAATAATACATTTTTTGCCGATAATAATATATTTTTTGCCGACAGTAATATTCTACTATATGCAAGAAGAAACTTCGTTTCGTAATGCATATTTTGTTCTATGTCTTTGGGTGGTCAAAGATGTAACTATGAATGGGTTTAAGTCGTTTTAACACTCAAAATATATGTGATTTCAAGTAACATTAAATTTATTTCAGCCGGATGACCTTGAATTCTAATAAAACTATAGGTGGTATTGAAATATATGCTTAATATTAAATAAAATAGATAAATTTAACATGTTTAACCCATTCAGTATACGCATGCTCAGTAAAAATAACTTTTTGAATAGAAACGTTTATTTTTGACTCTAGATTCATGTAGTCTTAATTTTTCAAGCAGCATTATCAATATCAATACAATTTCTCGAAAAGTGAAACTACAATATAATGTACAAACGAATGATACAGGACGGGTGTACCACTTCTGTAGATGTGAAGTTGGGAATGTAAGATATATACAGTTATTTAATTTATATTTGTAAACAACAGTAAACTATAGTTCATTAAAAACTTCGTAACTAAGTTCGATTATGCATGCTTTAAAAGACCGTAGTATTTAAAATTTACATTAAAACTCCTATAAAAAAAAAATAGTACATCACCCTAACTTTTTTTTAATTTTTTGACTACACAGTACGGCTTATAATGAATATCTTTTTAAATTTTCAAGTATTTCTGGTTAATCTGATACTTTTATCCAGAGAGTATTTACCATATAAAAATTACGTAATAAACTAGCAAAAATAAAATGTTTATACAAATTTTAAAAATCCTTTAAATGTTTTGAAAATTTGACCACGTCTAAAAAAAGTAAATAGGTTTTAGTTTTCTGTAAAAAGTTTTTACGAATATTTTTGACTGATTTACCATAGAAAAAAAAAAATTAAAATAATAAAACATCATTTTCGTAAATTTTCCCATTCTTTTTTGTTTTTCTTGACTTTGCTCAGCTATTAAAAAAATACGGGGAAAATCAAATAATGACTTTTATAATCATAAACTAGATTAATGATTCAACAAAAAAGGTTGTTGTTTTCTATGTGAGCTATTTTTCTTGTAGAAAATGTAGTTTGCAAAAATTGAATTCATTGAAATCGGTAACGCTGCTGCACTGGCATTGTAAATATTTCTTGGTTTTCCGAATTGTTTTAGAAAAGAGGCTTGATATACTTGAGGCTTGATCGGAACAAGTTTTCTTTTTGAATAGTTTTTTACAGATAGAAAAAAAAACAATAGTTTAACTAATGGATCCCTTACTACACTCTGAATCTAAAACAGTCTTAGTTATAATAATAATGTACTTATAATTTAGAGACAAATTAAAGAGCAAATGTGTCAAAAAATAAAGCAACGTTAACTACGTATAATATTATTTTCGATCAAAAAAACTTGTTGTGTTTATGTATGCAGATTTTAGGTATATATTTGTATATAGAAGTTTTTTTAGTTACATAAAATATACACTCTGTTTATATATTTATATATATATTTTTTAAATTAATAAATTTAAAAAAATAAGCTCCTCATATAAAATATATGATAGATCAAATTTATACATTTTTAATTGATTGTTATTAATTTTATAATATTTTTATAATTATTATTATTATTTAAAATTGTTTGCATAATATTTAAAAATAAATATATCTGCAATATATTAAAATAAAGAATTATTGCATCTGAATAGTTCATGATTATCGTATAGTTTTTACACACAAAATGTATTATTGTCAATATTTATTTTGTTTTTTTGTTTGTCATACCTACGTCATAATGTTATGCTCATTGTGAATGCAGTCTTATTATTATATTCTTTTTCGTTCTACCACTTCGATGTTGATGGAGAATTCAATTTAATGTTCAATATATAAAGTGATTTTATCACTACCCAACGATTATACTGGAAGGTTTTGAGTAAAATCGAATTTTGTGATTTTCATTCTTATTTCGTATACTATAGATGCCTATTAACTAAAATAAACTTTAAATAACAACTCTTCTCCTCTTTGTCTTATGAAAAGACACAGATTCGAAAAGAATTAAATATCATGAGTTCTAACTTATTTAACATATAGTAAGTATTGAGGTATATATTTAAAAATAAGAAAATTGATATCATGTATTATGGTGTTGGTGGTTTTCTCTTTACGACTATTCTCACATAAATATCAATTGATTAAAATTAAGACACACTTAAATGGTGTGTGAATTTATCGACATAAATCGATTGCAAACCAGTCGTGTAATCAAAAGTGTACGTAGGATTTTTTCGGGAAGTGGGGGAGGATGAGATGATTGAGCTTATACTCATTTTTTAGACAGGGTAATTTTGTAGAACCCTATCTAAAAATAAGGCAAAAGCAGATATTTCGGGAGGAGGTGTGGTTTATGTAACACTGTGAATAAAAAATTACTTGTGCAAATGTTTTGAGATTCTCGTTGCAAAACAGTCGGAGAGCCGAGCTAGGGGCCTTGTTAATATAATCCAATGATATTAATTTCATATTATTAATATTATCGAATATTTCGTGTATTCAAGCGTCATTACAACAACATGTTTTTACGTACCTATTTAGTATATTGTGTGTGCAAAATTACGATATGGAAATATATTATAATAGCTGCGGCGATGACGTCAAATGATAAGATTAATGAGTGTTTGTTTTCGCCCTAAATATGCATTTACTGCGGGATTAGCGATTTTGGTTTTTAATAACTACCTGTATGCAATTGAAATTGATATAATAAATTTAATATTGTTGTTTACGTGTTTTTTTTTTCAAATAATCCCCTTATGGGGGATGGTAATAACCAGATAGATCATAAATGTATTATTGAATTTGGTAAAACATATAAATTGTAAGTTAAGTAGAGAATTTTCATTTGGGAAATGCAAATAAGATAAATTAACAATACCATTTACTATTGTTTCGAATTTTCTGAAGATGGCGAAGATAATAATAACTCAGACAAATGTTTCGACCCCCCTTCCCCCGCATCGCTTTTTTATCTTTAATAAAAGTGTGAAAACTAAATTTATTTATATTATTCAATGTTACATCTAATTAAGACAAAATTATTTCCAATAATAACATTCTTAAAATCTCCGTATTACTATATTGTTTGTATAATTATTGTGCTATTTGTATTTTGATTGAAGAAAAGCAATACAAAAATTATAAGAACTGTTAACGTAATACCTAGAGGATGCAAGAGAATGGTGAGCATTTGTTCTTAAAGGAGCTACCTCTTCCTCATTGGTACCATCTCTTTGATCCCCCCTATTAAAATTAATTTATAAGTGGTTTCACTGATCATATCGTCTAACTCGAAAATCTGGTCTCGAAGAAATTAATAATAATAATTAAATTATTTGTAGTGTCGAGGACCTAGCGAGTTATCCGATTATATACGGTATAATATTATTATTTCGACCGAGATTATCTAGTTGTTAGTCTGTGGTTAAACAATTCGATAGTGTTATGTGTATAAACACGATGTAATAATAATCCGTATACATATAGTATATGCATGCTATGCAAACACCCTTGACGAATACGATATCCTATAAAATAAAGGAAAATAAAATATTTTTTCCTGGTGGAATGTAAAGTACGGCAGGTTTATATACGATATAGTTTCGCACATTTTACTTCTAATTTTTCATCTTTTTTAGTGTTACTAAAATTTAATAAAGCATATATTATACTATTTTATGTTAATCCTAATAATTTAATACGATAATATACTCACTTTTGACTAGCTGTTATAGTATTGATAAGAACAAATAGAGATACAATTTTGAAATTTCATATAGAGGTTCATTATATATTACAATAATGTAAGTACATAATAAGAAGGCATTTTAGGAAATTCTGAAAATTTAGCGCTTGCACATAAAAATTTTAAAATCGAAATATTATTATTATAATTTAAGCGTATTTAATTAGTCACAGGCAATGTTAAAGTAATGTTAGTAAAATTATATATAATTACAAAACGTATAAGCGTGCTACTTGTACAATTAAACTCGTATTACGAGTATTATATTACTCCAAACTACATTTATATTATAAAATAGCCAATACTGATAGTACTGAAAGTTTTGCCACTGTATTTTGAGGGGAGCTGAAAAGGAAATTATTTAGAGTAATTTAATTTATATCTATGTACGCAAAAATAAACCATTGCTAACTAAAAAATAATTTTGAGCCAAATGTTATTTCTTATTTTTCCTTTATTGAAAAAGTAACCCAGAAATCAACAAACATTGTACAAAATTGAGACACTTTTTCTGTTTATTAAGAAAAATACAAGAAAAATCAAAAAATTGATGTACCAACTAAATAATAAAATATTACATAAAAAAAGTTATTATAAAGTTTTTGATTAGAGTAAGATTTCTTACATAAAAGTTGCTTACAGACATACATTATAATAAAACTAATATATTTCTTTTTGCTTGTAATCTAAAAAGATGTAAAACTAGATTTCGAAAAAAAGCATTAAACATCGTATGACACAAGCCTTATTAAATATTATGACACGAGAATTTAGAAAATATATGACTTAGTTATTTTGTAATAATAACTATTGTTTCAGTGATAACAGAATCCTATAATATAATAGTAATATTATGTTGAAAGTTTTTCATTAAAATAGGTTGCATTGTGAATTCTGTATGGGGTGCTACACGGAGCTGCACACAGGTGGTCGACGATGACGGTGTAGTAAAAAGAAAAGAAAACGTAAAAAAATAAAAGGTAAAAACAACCGCACTAAACGGAGTGTATCCGAAAAATAATAAACAACGAAGACATTGAGAGCTGTCGTTCGAGCGGAGAGTAAGAGAGAGGGTAAAAAACAAAACAAAAAAAAATGTTCGTATAATATAATAAAATAGTGAAACAGTATCGAGGGAACAAGGTTTTGCTCTTAGGAGGGTCCCAGATATGTATACGGGCACTGCATGCATGGCACAATAGGCATTTTTACGTTCTCGGTTTAAATTATATATATTTCGAGTGCCATTATGTATATATATATATATATATATATATATATATATATATATTATATTCTATTAGAATGTCACACGTCATTTATTGTTCTTATTTAGACCGACTTTTTGAGATGGCCATTTTTCTCGTTCCGGCTACCACCTCTAGCTCACACACGAATATTATTTATTTTATTCAGTCTCGTGTAAAAGATACTTTTATATTATTGTACTTAAATATTATAAAGATACAAATACAATTAAAACAAATCTCACAAATAAATCATAAGAAAAAAAAGAAAATTTTCGTGAGAAGCAAGAGCTCAGACAACCGAGTCAAATTTGTCTACTTATTTTTTAAATTAAATACATAGTCTTTGCAAAATAATAAACAATTGAATACTATAATGAAACAATGCTATACTAATATTGTAATACTACTTCCAAATGACGAAATTTGAGCATACAAATGGTAGAGGTTGGTCATTACCAACCATTATCATTATCATTATTATGATAGTACTGAAACCCCAAAACGCACATTCTTAAATTATTATTATATAAATAAAAAAATTTGAATCCACCAATATTCCATAAAACATATCCTCGAGTTTGAACTTATTTAAATCAGAAGAAAAAGCTACTATAAGTATTCAAAATTAAATTTATATATATATATATATATACACACGTGTACGGTATTTTGTTTGTTATATAATACAACAATTATTGTATAACAGAACAATACAGTGCTGTAGTCTCTATTTTTGGAGAGAAATCGAATTTACACTAAGTTGGTTATCGTCATTATGACATTACTGTTTACTTTAGGTTCTGAATGAAGCAAGGAATGTATTAGTTTTATAATGATGTTTATATTTTTTTCTGTAAACAACTTTTTACTAGAAATCATGCACCAATGTATCAAGTATAGCACTTTTTGTAAAGATGTGATTTTTAAGATGTTCCATTAAGAATCCCTGATTTTAATTGCCCGGTATTTCTTGTTTTGTGTGTTGGTTGACGTGTTTTTCTTATCGTTGTCATTTAAATACTCTCTGCAATGAAACGCTGTGAAGATTTTATCAATTTATCTATCTATTTTTTGTCGATTAACTATCAATCGACGAACTGTTGACTCAGTAGAAGCCTCATAGTTTGACCCATGACCGGTCTAAGATGGCGCATTGTTTTGATATAACTTTCATTATGGTATGAAAAAGTCTACAAAATAATCTAACCAAAACGCGTTCTTCAATAGTTAGTCACACCATATACTTGGTACTTTAAGTAGGTAATTGTTTGCTTTTCGAAGCAGTTTTCTTTCTAATTTGGAAAAATCGGGAGAAGACATAGGAAAAGCAGGACAATTTTATTAATTTAAATTTTTTTTTTTATTGTAATTCAGTTAAAAATTTTTGTGCAGACTTGAAATTTAAACAAAAAATTATATTTACCTTTCCTAGACGTCATACAATTTTCAAAATATTTAAGCTATTTAATAGATATTTTAATTTTGCGATCTTTTTACATAATTTTTCTTTGGTAGTTGCTTTGTAGATATTATTGTTTAACCAAACAGAAATACCGGAAAATTTCGTTATCATCTATCGTTATAATAATCGCTGATTATTAATTCAGTAAAAATAATAGTAATAAAAAACCAATAACAGAAATTGTAAATAAAGATAATTTTTCGCGTACGATAAAATATAATTTATTACTATTCGTTTTTTTTCGATTTTGTATGTACATTATAACACTTAGGTAATTACACAATTAAAGTGACAAAATAATTCTCAGGTAGTGCAATTGCACCATCTGAGAATTTTAATAATTTGGAATTTGGAATTTCAAATAAATAATTAAGTATGAAAAATTCCTTCTCAGTTAATTTATACCTATTCTGAGAAATCTTCGTCTGTCGCACTTTAGTCACAAAAGAACGGTAATACCCATCTATATATACATTTTTTCTAGAACTTATAAATAAAATTAATTATGTTTTAAATATATCTTGTCATGCATATTATTGATGTATAAAGACGCCATTAATTTAGGGTAGGGGAAGTGTGGGGGCTAAGCCCCCATGGTTTATATAAGCACTAAAATCATTTTGAAACTAGCAAGTTTCTTCTCTGTGGACTAATGATAACACTTTTTTAAAAAGAAATCTGATTTGGGAGGTATTTAAAAATGTAATTTTTCGATTTTTCCCAAGAATTTTTTCAAAAAATTTGAAAAACCGGGATAAAAAATAAGAAAATCGGGAGTATAGTAGAGAAACTTGGAAAATTGGTACAACATTAAACAAATTTTCCTAAAGAAAATATAAAAAGCTTATTTATTTTACCATAATGAGACAAATATATTGTTGACAAACATTATCAATTGAACTCTGCTCAGAATAGTTTTTTGTTAGCATTAGTTTATGGTCGTGTACATTAAATTTCTAGCTATATTCTACCTTTCCAACTTCCCACCTACAACAGTGGCCTCACCCGTCTCCATTATCCTGGTACATCTTACAATAGTAAAATTTTATGAACTAAATTTAATATTGAAACGCCCATTTAAACCTTCGTGGTTCTATATTTATTTAGTATAAACATGTAAATGCATACAATTTATGGTTATAAATTTATTTATTTATGGTCTTTAGGAAATCACAATATCATAATATGTTATTCGGACGATATTACATAACAATAATGCCGGCACTCCGTATAGGCAATTTCGGGCCGCACGTGCACTCGGAACGCTTTCTTGCTCATATACCCAATTATTATATATCCAGTAGGTATATTAAAAGTACGTAGGTATCTTATTTTCAATATTGTTTTGTGTTAAGTGTCATACATCCGAATTTAACGAAAACCTGTTAGTATTTTTAGATCACCGACTTAAATAAGATTCATGGAACCAGTGTTCCACCATGCGAGATTATGGATGGATTTTTTTTTGTGTTAGTTAAAAATCCTATACAATAATACTCGTATTTTCATTTTTCAGTTTAATAAACTATTTTATTTAACTGAACAAATTACTAATATGAGCGCTGTAATAAACAGAATAATACTATTGTTATCATTGTCAAATTAATTATTTTTAGCATGTCGTTTAAGATGATATTATATTCAAAGTGTTATTAAATACGATTGACTGATAATTTGTTTGTTTTATCCCGATGTTGATTTTTGTATTTTTTTTTTTTTTTAAGGGATTACAATTATGTAGTAGTAATTAAGTAAATAAAAAAAAATATCTATGGGTATTCTTTTTTTAGAATTTTCACATACAACATTTACCAAACTATTGTACCGTTTACAGAAACGTGTACAGTTTACATGCGAATGTGTTGATTTTAAATCAAATCCCGTTGCCCAAACCCTAGTCAAATGTTTGAATTATCAAAAAACATTGAAAAAATGGCATTTTATAAATTGTATACATTTACTTTTTTTTTTTTTTACTCACTAAAAAGTGTAAGAATGTACACAAACAAATATTTACACAGAGTTGTCTCGTATAAATAGCATGGTACTTCGAGCATACTAGGTTAGATGACCTAATAACGAATTTTTTAAATTTTTAAACATTTGTATAACAAAACCTTCAAAAAGACCGTAGAAAATCTACATTTTAATTAATTCAGTATAGTCCTACTGTTACAAAACACTCTGTATACAAGTTTATGATCGTTTCTTTGCCATGTGATAGACGATCTAGATACGAAGACGAAGTGCTTGGTATACAATATCTCCATGGAAACATTTTATCTCTCATAATCACAAGTGACGGTGGTTTTCGGAAACGAATATAACATAGTGATGGGACACTTAATTATCTATCGAGTAATCGCGTTTTCTCGTTAACTGTACCTGTATATAAATTATTATGGTGTCCCGTCTGACACCGGGATACTAGGTTTCTCATTATTATTCGCTAACCTATTACTCGGTAACTGTCAACTATATATAATACATATACTGCACTTTATACGTCACCTCGGTGTTTTTCACAGTTATTTTTTGTCATCAACGTAAGGTCTTCCGTCCACTAAACGATACGATGGCCATAGTTTCGAATTTCTAAAACATACCGAACATCTAAGCTAAATATATTAAATCCATAACTGTGAAAACATTCACGGAAAATTTAAACCTACACTTATTGTAATACTAGTTAAGTGAAAGTTATTTCTTAAAATAAATAACTATAAGTTATTATTAACATTAATTTTTTTTTTTATTCAACTGTAATATGTTAAAATGTTAAAAATTAATCAATAACTCCTTACTGCCCAGTTTTAAGTTTATATTAATTTTTATGTATTTTGACGAGCTGGGCTCAATAATACATTTTCAGTTAGGCATACATTAATTGGATATAATAAATTCTTAAAGAAAAACAAATAAAAGAGCAGTAGTAATAACGGTGGGTAAATTATAATAATAAAATATTTCTAGTAATAATAATAATAAGGTTAACAAAAAATAGTAAACTAAATAAGAGTAATGATGAATTACAAGAGTAACCAATAGAATGAAAATTAAAAAAATCAACCTCACCATCGTTAGCTACTTAATATATTTATAGGCAATGGTTTAGGTTTTGTTTCGATTCATCTATAAAACAACTCTAATTAACCGATTTTGAACTCATTTAATCCAGAAAAAACCACTAGTTAGTGGATCCCCATTAGTTTTACTCTAAGAAACTATTTTTTCGGTTATTATAAGAATGCTCAGACTCATTACGCATTATCTTAAAAAATGCGAAATTTCCACCAAGAAGTACTTCAATTGAAGATAATATTGAAATTCTTAAGATACTATCTTTATTTTTTTGGAAAAAACTGATTCTGTTTTTCAGTTTGTAAAAATACACAATATATAAGAAATGAAAACAACAACTCTTATTATAATACTGTCTATATTTTTCGAACCCCACCAAACTCCGGAAACGAATCAAATATATTATCCTGAAAAAAGAAAAAACCGTATACGTTCGCCGCACTATGTTTATTTCCGCTATCGTCCAGTAAGAAATGCCATTCCACTGAAGTCTACTGTAATACAGGTTTTTTTTTTCACAATAATATGCAAACGATATTGTTTTTCCAAAGAATCAATCCCATGTGAACGTGGACTCTCCACAAACGTTATAAAGGGCAACCTTTATTCGAAATGGTTGACGACGGTTTCACGTCATAAAACCCTCTATATAGGATTCGTTCTGTACGCTCTAAATTCTCTAAGCTCCCTACAAAAAAAAAAAAATATTATTACTTTCAAAATACAAAATATTTTTACCCGATGAAGACAATTATTATTATTAATCATGCAAATCAGTTGATCGTAGTGAATTTTTAGGGAGGTTATTTGTATGCAACTGGATAACCAGTAGAGTAAGATTTTTGTTTTCTGTATGTTCACTTGAAATTATTAAATTAATAGATTTTGCAATAATTTTGTTTTACTTTACTATTTTCCTCAATCCTTTGATATTATGTTCCAGTTTATTTCTCTTGATTGCTCTTGAAATTCCACCATGATCTCCTATCTTTGGTATGACATTCTACGTGGTCTCGTTTATTCCATTTCTTCATTTATATGATTTTTTTCATTAGTTTTCTATCTGAACTCCAAACATGCCCCATCCATTTCAATGAACTGAATCATATTTTCTGTTTCATAAATTGTATTGAGTTAATCTATTCGACCTTAATTCCCATTTCTGCTCTCCTTAATTAAATTTGTATATTGAACTGTATATTTTCCTCAATATATTCATCTCGAATCTTGAAAGCTTTTCTTCGTCACCTTAAATTGTTGCTCAAGTTGTACCTGCATATAAACGAACTGGTCTTACATAGCTAATGTTTATTAGTTGCTCTTTTTTTTATATTAATTTTGACCTAAATAGGTTTGCTACAGCAAAGTAGTATTTATTTGCCACTGCCTTATTTTTATTTTGCTATGCGTGTTATTTTATAACAAAATATTATAATTATTTAAAAAAATACTATTTCCAGACTATTTCAACTTTTTCTATTCTTTGTTCGTACTATGAAAAATTGTAAATCTTTCTATTCACGATCTTCATTCTTTATTTATAGTTTTAATTTTTATCTGTGAAAAACTTTTCGCTCAGATTCGTTTTTTTTTTCATTAGCAATAGTTTATCGTTTTTTACAGATATACATTAAATTCTCGTCTGTGTCTTACCTTCCTAACTTTCTACCTACAACAGTGGCTTCACCCGCTCTAATAATCCTAGGATAGCTTTTTTCCTGTTATTTAATATCATTTTTTAGTCAATATTCCAATAGTTATTCGGTAGAATTTACGATAATACATTAGAGAAGTTTACTGCACGGAAATCATAATATGCTGTCACTTTAATATAATTTATAGATAACTGAGGAACTACGACGATATCCACAGTACCAGTTATAGTAGGTATAAAAAGGAAAAGACAAAAAGAGTAACTATTTAGGTGCTATTAATGTATTATTATCGACGTTTTTATAATGTTTTTGTTTTTTCCTATATAAAAGCCCAAAAGCTGTCTCGAGAATAAATCGATTTTACATCGGATCATATAAAATGGATTTTGTCCCATACTTGCTGATCGTGTAACCAAAAAAAAAAAAAAAAAAAATAAAAAATACTTTACACTTCGGGGCACTGTCAAAGGAGGTTGTGATGGAAAAAAAAACGATTGTTTTTCGTCACTCAATTTAGCAAGATTTTTTTTCTATACCTACACCTATATAATACCATCACATTCTCTTTAGTGCATCGAGTAAATGGGTTTTTAGTGAAATCGATTTCGCGCCGGCCGCGGACGACACGTTATCAACTGGGGACTCTGAGAAATATATATACATTTTTTTTTATAAAAATCGCTTTTTCCCGTTTCTCGACTACTGTGTTGATAAGCTTAACGTCTAAATTGAATACATGTTTTGAAATTCAATCGGTGTGGAATGAGATAGGTTTTTTTTCTAATAATATATAGGTACCGGTGTTTAATATAAACGACTTTTTTTCGCATATACGAAAATACACATTATTAGGTTTTAAAAATTCAATATGCATAAATGCTTTACTTTATCTATGTATATTAACATGACGTAATCGATCAACCATAGTAATTTCCTTTAATGCAAAATATAACGATTTTGTTTTTTTTTGTCGTCGTTATAATAAAATGTGTATCATTTTTAAATGTTATTAAAATACATAGACTCATCAGAAACGAAATGAATCAGAGAATATATATCAAATGAGAAAAAAACACATCTTTATGGAAATATTGTATAAGTACAATGTACCTAATATATATAAAAAAAAGTATTTCCAAGGAAATTTATATGTTTCAATAAATTGTACCAACTGGAGTGAATTAGAAAAGAATCAAATTACGACAAAAGATTTTATGATGGACTTATATAAAAATTTCTGAACATTTTTTTTTTGGCCAAAACAATATTATTCAGATAAAACAAAATAAAAATATTTAAAAAAAAAACCTTAGAAATTTTAAATAACTCAAAAAAAGAAAGTATGCTATAATTGTATCACGTTTAGAAAATTCAAATATAAGTATTTTGTGAATATTTCAGATTATTTTTAACTGAATTAAAGAATACAAATTCGAAAATAACAGAAATTGTTAATAATTTGTTTTAAGTTTAATTATTAAATTCATTTTTTTTAAATTATTGAGAAAACTACCAACAAGATAAATCGAAATCCCAATGCATCAATTATAAATTAATTATTCAATATCTATAAATATTTGCATAGAAAAATTGTTTGGAATACAAACAAATCTTCAAAATCATACATCATACTGAGATAATAAGACTCAAAATCTAAAATAAATAATATTTAAATAGGCATTAATATCGAGCTATTTTCGTATTCATAATTATAATCTATAATAATAAGAGGAAGTGTTTGTGAGTTAGTGTGCAATGCACATTTAAATTGATCGCACACAGAAGTCTGACAATTGATCTTACAGAAGAGATTGAACGAATTCGTGTATACCTCGACACCGGATTTCCGAAATTCACCCATTAAACCATTAAGGATAAAGGCTCACACAAAGAATTTTTGGTATTATGATACGATAATTGAATTATCTCTGCTGCTTAATTTGATGACACGGATGAAATAAAATGGGAGACTAGGGATAGTTATGGAGACAATTTAATTTTAATTTTTTTTATTGATTTTGGTTTTTAAAAGTACTTTCTAAAAACTACGCTTTTAAATGTTCAACAGAATAGGGAATTTAATTGGCACAAGTAATGCCGGGCGGGATTGCTATAGTATTATGATAATAATTACCAAAATCGTTTTTCAGCCTTTTTCTATAGAGTGTATGACGAATATTTAATTTATCCGGGTTTTTTAACGAACTAAACTCTAGTTTTATCACATATATTTCTATAAATTAAAAAAAAATCAAGAAGTATTGATTATTTTTTTTTTTTAGCTATTTTTACGATTACTCTAATTGTCAAGATTGAGAAATATCATTAAATAATGCAGATTTATAAGCTAATTTCGGTTCCAAAATGACATCGACAATAGTGTTTGCAGTGAATACTTAGTTGACATTTTTTACTGTCAGTTTAAACAATTTCAGTACCTATATAAAACGTGAAATACGAATGCCTTATTATTAAAAATAATCACAAAAACAATTCGTTATTCGAAAAACAAATTATATAACGTACAGATTTATATTTCACAACGGAATGCTGATTCACTATTAACATTTACACAATTTCATACCTCTTATTATTTTATAATCCGGAGAGTTGAAAAAGTATACCTACCGGTTTGCTAGGTAAATAATAATTATTGCATTTGTGTCTAGATATTATGATTTTCTCGGCGTCTTCAGGGTAGAAATTCGTTGTATGATAATATATTTTAACGATTCTGGTCGATTATTATCACGAGCACGTGTCGAAACGGTAACTATGCGATTATTATGCGTCAGGGGAGGTTTTTCGAAAAAAAAAGTCCGCTCAAGCCCTTTGCTCGTACACAAAATATACGAGGAGTAAAAACCGTTACAACATATAGAGAAGAACGGCCGAAATGCCGACGGGACCAGTATGGTGGTAATGACGGGTTGACATCCTGGATTTATTGCGGAGGAAAATTATACAGAAAAGAGGATACGCAAAGAATTTTGATCAGTCGGTCAGCTCTTTGTATATTAAATTTAAATACCAGAAACATGCGTTAAAAATCGTATAATATTCATCGTTTACTTTTGCAATGGCGCGAATTTTCAGAGAAGAGAAAAAAAAACGTGACGCTACCACTGATGTATACTTAAACCATAGTATAATGGCAGATTCTCACGTATTTTTTTTTCATAGCTCGCCAAAGAGCTAAATACTCATTAATTTTTTTTTTTACAGAATTTACCACCCATTGTAAGTATAATGTTAATAAATATAATGATAAAATAAATCCCCAAATATAATGTATCCTATAATATGCGTTATTGATTTAAAGCAATACGATCATGATATTCTACCCATTTCTTGTTATTTTTGCTTACATTCACCCCTGCGTATATGATATAATATCTTCTTTTTTTTGAGTTTTAAAATTTTCTGAGTTTTCGCCGCTAATATTAAATTATGCAACCTTCCGGTCTGAAATTATGTTTTTCCGTCCGTCAACTACCAACATTCTTTGATCATCTTCAACTACATCGATCCATATTTGTCTAGGTCTACCACGAGAACTTTTATCTAGAGGTTCCCATTCTGCTTTCATTCTGCATCATGCTTTCACCCTCTTATATGTTCATAATATATTTCCTAGTTATCGTAGCCGCTGTCCGTTATACGCTTTACAGAAGAAGCAGAATATCCAGCTGCATCTCTTGCGGATTTCTACTTTGTCTGCGCATTCATACATCATATAAGTAATCATAGGCATCAGTTATGGCTGGTAAATATTAGAAATTGTTTATTGAAAACCAAAAAGATTTCTTGTAATGTATCTTTAATTGTATAGAATTTTCAATTAGTACTATTTGTATAAATTTAATTTTAGAAATATAAAAACAATCGCCACTCTCTTGAATTCGTTACAAATATTTCCTTGCTTTTTCTTTCATGAAGGTCAAAATAAATGAAACTGTATTTACTGGTGCTACATCGATAGCTATGTTGTTTGATTACCTATTGTATCTTCTTCACTTATATAGTTGCTTTTACTAACTAAATCTTATATTCTTACTTATGTTAAAAATATACCTACATATATTATGTTATAATAGTCGCACTAATTTTATTGAAATATATTATTTACATATTTAAACATTAAATTACATAGTAAAATCCTCAATTCTGCAGATACATCTTGTGTATTCGAGAATGGGATCCAAAGTTAATAATACTATTAAATTAACCGACATCGTCCTGCCGCAGTTATTCTAAAGAATTTAATGAATAATAGTATTACAGACGGCGGTAGTAACTGGATTAAAATCTAAAAGTGCCTAGCAGTTAAATTCGAGATCTTAAAAATGTAAGTCCATTACCGATAGTGAAATAAACGAAAGAGATTGTTCGTGAGATTCAAAAAAAAAAAAAATTTACGCTCGATTATGGCACGGTGCGACCCATTAAATAACAAGATTTCGTCCCCAATATTTTAATTTATCGATTACGGTTCCATCGAAAAAAAAAATTTAACAAAAAATGTCAAGTTGTAAAAACGTAGTAATTTATATTTTAATTTTTGAATGTCACGTTTATTTTTAGATCGAAGAGCTAGAGATGTTTTAATTTCACAATAATAAATAATCTTGTTCCGCTAATTAACAACAAGGATGGTTTTTGGTTGTTACTTTTATCTAGTCAGTGTACAATGGAAAGTCATTTTTTAATTTTCTGTGTTATTTTCTTAATAATGAAGGGAAATGTGTACTAAACATTTACATAAGTGCATAGATCAAATACAATTTTTACATATTTTGGTATTTATGAATTGTCTATAGCTGTTTTAATTTTGAATTGTTTCGTTTATATATGTATGCAGTTCGTCTTTACTTGGTGTTTATGCACGGAAATATGATACAAGATTCCTCATGAATCATCACGTTCTCAGCAATAGTATTAAAACATCGAAAACTCACCATTTTATTTATTTTTCTTAACGTTCAAAGTTCGGATTTTAACGAAACTCATAAAAATTACCAACATTAATTTTTTTTTTTTTTTTGATTTATGATATGAATTAAATTCGTTTGCGGGAACATCAAAGGAATGGAAAACTATTATTGTCTGGGTGTTTACAAATAACAAGATGTTTGTAATATACAATATAGGTATTGTCGTATTGAATGCGCCGAACACGAATAATAAAATATAAAAATATAATCGTGAAAGGTTTTTTATTACTGACGTGTATAATATATTATTACGTTTTATGCACGTTTGAACGAACTATAACTTTGAAAAAAATTCCTTTGTACCGACTTCCCATCCTCAGTTTTTGTTTAATTGGATTATTATTATTATTTTGTGTAAATGGTAGAAAATTGAATTTAGTATTATTTTATTAATAATCTTTTTACTTTTTGTATGCGCTTCTCTATGCGAA